CGTCCTCTTCTTTCTGCCGTCCTGGTGCAGTAAACTAACATTGATACTCTAAGAATCACCTGACCGGAACAGGGAAGTTGTTTAGGCTTATCAGTAACAACACGAATTCAAAACTGATTCTACAAAGTTCGATTAACAACGACGCGTCATACATAATCAGCTCAGCATGAAAGATAAGCTCTAAAATTTATTGGTATTTATTGACGTCTGCGGTGCCAAGACTTGGCAGGGGCGGGGCATGTTACAGACGTTTGTAAAGTGAGACAGGGCAAGTTCAACTAGTTGAAGCCCCCAACCACACAAACGAGTGTAAAATTTCCCGAGTTTCTGTTGCAAATCTTCACTCGCTCTGAACCTACCACCTTTAAACTTGGTAAGTTTCCTAATTTTAAGCCGCTATTTCCAGCAGGATCAATGGATCTGATTCGCTAATTTGTCTTTGGCAAAACTTTAAAAAAAGCGGGAAAGGTTCTATCACCTGATCGAAACAGGGAAGTTGTTTAGGCTTATCAGTGTCAACAAGAATTCAAAACCGATTCTACAAAGTTCAGTTAACAACGTCGCGTCATACATCATCAGCTCAGCATGAAAGATGAGCTCTATAATAATATACACAAAAAAATTACTCAATTCTGATTGGCTGAGAAAGGAGTGCAGCTCTTCTGTAACACGAGTGCAAAGTGTGTAACACGAGTGCAAACTTGTAACACGAGTGCAAATTACAAATGCTTTCTGATTGGCTGAAAACACAAAAGAAACCACCAAGAACCAATCAGATTAGAGCTGTTTTAGCAACAAAATTCAAGAAAATGGCCATGGTTTACAGCAGACGACGACGGGATTTAATTTTGTACGCAAACCAACAATAGAAAAGTTAGAAAAATATTCCAAAAACCCGAACACAGTAAAAAGTTCGTCTTTCTGGCTAAATGTATTGAAAATGCGTTGCTAAGAGAAAAATACTGTCAACAAAATCGAGCAAAATGAACCAGAGTAGCTAAAAAACAAACTACTTATAAAAGACTACGCTAAAGTAAAAAAATAAAGAATAATTACGGTTGCAACCAGATGCAAACCATGACAGCTACACTTTTCAGGCATTTAAATGAACAAGGATACAAGTTTTCGATGATAACAACAGAGATTTCAAGTCACTTACGTTATTTGTTGGAGGAGAAAGGTGTCCGGTTGCTGTCTTTGAGTCTTTTGTGGAGAGAAGACCTCTATTAAAACATCCATGCGATGGTCTGTTTTTTTCTACCTCAGTAGCAAACGAAACCGAAAATTTAAACATCTGGTCCAAACTAAACCAATGGGCGAAAATACCATAACTAACATAATGAAAGTATCCGTAGCTGGTACTAGCCTTAAAGAAAGTGAGAAAAAAGTTTACGAATCATTGTGCAAGAAAAACAACATTCAGGAAGCTTAAGAAAGCAAAGATTGTAAGTTCAGAACATATCGCCAATGTCACAGGCCACAGAGGCATGAATTTCCTTAACGACTACGACGAAGTCGACGAAGAAGAGCTACGATGACTCTTGCATGCAATAATAAAAACCCTACGGGCTCGTGCACTTTTGTTGGTCTTTGAAAAATTTACTCGTGCTTATTTATTCCAAATTGACTCGAAATCATGTGATTACCTATACTAATTGATTGGTTTTTATTGACGTCTGCGGTGCCAAGACTTCGCAGGGGGCATGAAATTTTTAAAGTTCTGAATCAGGTAGCATTTACAATATTGAGCTGTTTATATCATAGTAGCTATTTAACTGAATGTGGAGCACAGTGCTGTAAAGAGGTCAGCAAACATGAACTCAACAACAGGGAATGGGTCGATCGAGTCTCTAAGCTGCTTTAGTGCAAAAGCGTACAATATTGGAATGACCACTGCTTTGAGTCTGATCCTTGCTGTTTCGCTGATGGCAAATTGTTTCATTGTAATGACCGTTTATAAAACGCCGGCCTTAAGAAAACCGATAAATTATTTCATCGCATGCATGGCCATATCCGATCTGCTGTATTCAATATTCTGGATCCCCTTATACCTGTCATCATTGCTCACTTCGTGGCGTATCGATGGTCAGCTTGGCCAGGCCTTGTGCAAGCTTGTCCCTTTCTTTGGTGACATTTCCTTTGTCGTTTCGATTCAGAATCTGGTTCTGATAGCGGTGGATCGATTTGGAGCCGTGGTGTTTCCACTCCGTTCCCCATTCATCGGATCCAAGCTGTGTCCCTTCTTCATTTCCGCGATGTGGATAGTCGCAGGGGCCGTCTCTTCGCCAAATTTGTTCACTTTCCAACTCGTTGAATACTCAGGGGAAATTCAGTGCCAGAGGGAATGGAAGACAGCATTCGGAGAGTCCTCGTCCTTTACCGACTTCCTATTACCAATCTGTATTCTCCTTATATTCATCCCTGTGATAATATTAGTCATTCTTTACTCCATCATCCTCATCAAGCTCAAGACACAGGCACACCCAGGTGAACAGTCTGCGAACACTCAGCAACATAGGAAAAGACAAAACAGAAACGTGCTTCAAATGTCCATTGCTATCGTATTAGTGTTTGTTTCTTGTTGGTTACCCTTTTATACCAACCTTTTTGTGATAGAGTATAGTTCAGTGCAGTCTTGTGCCTTTTTGCTATACTTTGATGTCGCCGTTGTTATGACTGTCGCGTACTGTGCTATCAATCCCATTATTTGCTTTGTGTTTAGCAGTAATTACCGACAAGATCTTAAAAGACTCATGAACTGTTCTTAACTGTTATGTTGTACAGGCGTAAGTCGCAAAAACCTGCTCGTGAATTAATATGTTAAGGGTCAGTGAGGTTCGTGTAACTCTAGCAGATGAAAAACTATCCTGTTAGTATACTGTAGGGAGGTTGGCAAAATGTAGCTAAATGTGTTCATTGTATATATGTATATGTCTTTCCTGACTTCGAGAAGTGACTGCAAGTGTACGTAGCTCAAGCGTACTGTTTGTAAGGCAAAGGCCAAGAATGAATAGATAAATAAATAAATAATTACACTTATGTGATGTTGATTTCTCTTCCTATTTATTAGTTTCAGAGCAATTTGAGCGGCGGTGTCATCATCTGACCGCAAATTAATGCAGCTGTATGTGGCAATACAGAGAAAGATAGCAAGCATGCTCCAAAGACCTCGCACATATACACTTTCCTCGCCAAAATCACAAGAAAACTCGAGATGAGACTTCTGCAATCCATTTCAATCAACTTTGCGTTTAAATGCATTAAAAAAGATTGAATATTCTGAGATCCTCAACAACAGCTCATTCTCTCTTACGAAAACTTCTGTTTTTTAGCCCTCATTTCTCGTAACTTTAAGATCCCTTGTTAGACGTTATAATTAGGACTTGTTTTCTTTTCTTTTTTCCCCTATTCTTTTAACACTCAGCCAGGGGCGAGTTTCTTAGGAATCGAATTTTACCTTCTTTATTAAAAATGAAGGCAGAACTCCCGGCTAAACAAATAGATTTAGCTAAAAGGAGCTGGTGAAAGAAGGCCAAGCAAGAGTTCTGGGAAAATGTATTATATCAAAAGAATGTTTTGGTTGCAAAGCATTAAGGGGTAGAAAAGCTAAGTAAGTGATGCGAGACACTGTACAATACACACACACGAATCTTTCCAGCTCTCAGATAGTAAAAAAACATAAAAGCCAAAAAATATATATAAAAAGGCCGAATAAACGCGCGACACGAAGACAGTGAAAAGGTGGGGAAAGTGATAGAAACATACTAACCATTTTCGTTGGTCTGGCGGACTGCAGTACGTATTAATTAGGACTATATAGACACAACAACACCAAATGAGAACCATATGAACCATATGGGGGATGATTATTAAAAATGTTGACAGACTAACAGGACTCCAGTAAAATTCGTAAGTAATTCCTTGTATGAGTAATTTCCGTTTTCTATCGGAGTGTACTATGACTAAAAATCTTACGTAACCTAGTTTGAGGCAATAAAATCATCGCAAACTTTTTCTCTTTTTCAGCGTTAAACTGAAAGGCTTTCTAGCATGCCCTGAGTTGCCTTTGTCGTAAATTTTCAGTAGTAACAAACCATTTTTTTTTTTCAGTTAAGGAAGACGCCAATTTGAGTGTACATCAAGCATGATAAAAGAAGAGCCGCCAATTTCAAGCGTGCACAAGGAACAGGGAAAATTGTCCTTCTTCCAAGCTCTAGGTTACAATATTTGGAACCAAACATTCAGTTATTTTCAGCTAAAGTTTTTAAACGAAAATTGGGGGCTCAACCTTGACTTAAAGAGCGAGTCACTTCTTTGTTTTCATGGTAACAAACTGTTAAACAAGCCGAACAGCCAAAGAAAGGCATAGATCGAGAGCGTCTGCGAAAAAAAAAATTATTGAAAATTAAACAAAACAAAAAAACAAGAAAAAACTGTACGTTTTTTTTTTGGCACATGCAACTTTCATCTATCGTTCGTTCCAAAATTAAAAGTTATCAATAATTAAGGGCAAGGTGTTATTAACCTTGTACACAAAAACAGTTCAACTATATTATCCCTTTGAAATGCTGTTAAATAACAAATTGAATACTATTTCCTCACTTCCCGGCACCTATGTAAAATGTGTTCTATTAAAGGACGTATTGTTATTCAAATGTCTTTCAATCGATTTAATTAGTACAATTACACCTGACTAAAATGACTTGTTTACTCATGTTGTGTGTTTCCTCTTTATTTTGTGGTTCCCGAGTCAATTTATGGCTATTTTTCATGGGTTTTATGGCAACCAGTTTGTTCCCTCTTATCCTTTCAATAAAACCCATAAAATGGCCATTAATCGGCTCGAGAAACACAAAGGAAAGAAGGAAACACACAACTTGAAAGACATCAGTCAACTTTCAAAGATATTGTGAGAAACAAGTGGGTCACAAATTTCTATTGTTTACTGAAACTCCTGGAAATCAAAGAGAAGACGCGCTTTCGTTCTCATAGGTGAAGCAACAAGTCTACAAAATTGTCCGGGAAAAGAGTAACTTGCCGCAAGTCGACTTGACGAGTTTCTAAGCGAGCGGAGCGCGCCTTTTAGGCCTCGAAGCGGCCGAGCGAGCGACGAAGTCGAGAGAGGTGTCGCGCAATAATAAGTCATCACTGGCGATATTAAATCAGACGAAGAGCTTTTTTAAAAGGTCTAGGAAAAGAGTTTTTAAAGGAATATGATCTGAGAAGCTAAACGGGGATAAAAACTCAAATTCCGCAGAAGTCAGGGTCACTTGTATAGTGACATGGTTCTTGTTACATGTTTGAAAACTAAACTAGATGAGAGAGACCTCCAACTCATAAATCTTGAGAAAGCCACCTGTCCGAAATGTTACCTCCTCTTAAACAGATAAAACTGTCATCTTTTATTAGGATTTTTATGGCTAAAAAGTTAAATTTACGTGAAAGGTCTCCACCCACTTTTCCTCATTTAAAATCTAGCAGATCGCCACCATTGTGGTGTGAGGTACCCTTCTGGCAGAGGAATTTTCTGATCCTTGATGCATTTTTCCAGAAAGATCTTTAATCTACTAACGGGTCCACTCTGTTCCTTTGCGGTAACTTTCTCAATCTTGGGTACATAGTCTAACACCAAGGTGTTGAGTAGCTTGCCAAACTGTTTCTTGTACTGTTTCATCAGTGCATGCCCTGCAATGGATAAGAATTCATAAAGAGCCGTAGCAGTGTAGTCTGGTCGGGGTTCTAAGTTCAACATTCTTGCCAGCCAAGTCCATCCCTTTTCAGGCCCATGGGGGTGTGGTTGTGATTGTCCCGGTGGGGGTAAGGAGGAGATAATTGCCGCATACAGGCGGACAATTCCAGTCATGCGCTTGAGGTACTTGTCTTTTTGTTCAACCTGACCATCTGAACACAGATAGCCAAGAGTAGTAAAGTACTCTGCATCTGTCATCCCAGCCGCCTTAGGGATATAAAATGGTACCAGGAATGGGCACTCCTCATAGAACCTCATTAGAATAAGATCACCAACATCAGGAAAACTGGACCACACCCCTATGGCAACTGCAGCAATTGGAAAAGCAGAACTGACGCTGGATGAAACTTGCTGAGAACCTTGAGCCACCAATTTTCTTGCAATCATTTCCTTGCAGTATGCCTGTACATAAAATTACAGTAATAATAATTATTCTAGCAAGCAATGGAACAGAACGTTATAGGGTACTTCTTATTGGGAGTCAATTTTTCAGAGCTGTCACTGAGATTTCAAGTTGTTGGGAATATGCAATTGTTTGGGGAGTAATGGTCCCTGTGCACGAAATGGTCACATGGTACAAAAACACTTTGCTGAATGGCAGACGACACAGAGGGGCAAGAAAAACTAAAGTGAAAATACAGGGCTGTCATTAACAGGCGGGGGCTGGGGATTTCCCCCGGCTACTAAGAATGAGGCCCCTGGCTACTTTCATAGGAAAACAGAAGAAAAATAGAACCAAAAGAAATCCCTAGCTGTTTGATTTCCCGCTTACTTGTTGTATTTATGTGGCAAATTGAAATCTTAGTGACAGCCCTGGAAATATCCTTTCTTTTCAATTTCCCCCTGACATGTTTGCCCAGCTCCAGCAGCATGTTTTTGTACCACGTGACAATTTCATGTTAAGGGCCCGTTCAATAGCCAGAAAACTCAAACTCAAGGGTGCAATAAAAATTGAAATTATACAACTTCTTTAAGAAAAATATGGATCATTATACATTCCTGGGAAACTGTCCACCTACCCCTCCCTTAAGCCAACATTTTGCCCTAAGTGAGAAGTAAGTGTTAATGTTGGCTTTGGGGAGGGGTACATGTATGTGGGCAGTTTCCCAGAAATGTTTAATGATCCAATATTATTTCTTGAGGGCATTAGTCAAGGGGATACCAAGTGACAGATAGTTTTTCAGTAAGCTTTTACAGCAACTGCACCTATGTTTTTGCACTCAGCCACAAACCAGACTGCCACAAACCAAACTGATCAAACTTTGCACCGAAATACCAGCCTTGAGAACTGCTAATCGTGACCTTATTGGTGTAATTAGTCATATGTGATTTCATTGGTCTCACAAGGTAGAACATCATAATAACATCGGAGGTATGAATTTAAAGCTCACGAGATCAACCAGTGTTTTACCCAGTCTACATATAGCACACAATGAGAGGCTTAGTCAGAAATTATTCAAGGGCATGTTTTTGGACAATTCATGCAATTTAAATGCCTGATAGATAAAATAATTTATCCCAGTGCATCACTTGTCACAGTTGCCACAGAGATTTTATAGTTTACAAAGTTTGTTACTATTACAGACGCTCACAGAGATAAGACAAAACTGTGGCTATTTGCAGAAGACAACAGAAAACAGATGTCTCCATTACTTTTCAATCGTTAAGTGAATACTCCTGTCAGTCAGTAAAAATTAAATTCTCTCAATTTTCCTACATAGTGGGATGCATGTCCTTCTTTGGAGAATTTCTTGAATTTATACTTATTACTAAGGGTTGCTAAGGGCACACTCAGGAAATATTATAAGTATGTGCAACAGTTTTATTGCAATTCTCCAGATGATTTTTGGGCCACTTAAATGTTACACACATTGGGACATTTTATTTCACACAGATTTCTAGCTATTGCAAAGCAATAAACACTAAAATTAGTGATTTTTAGAGTTCATTCCTTTTATTTTTATTCTGGAATATGGTCAATTGAACATAGTCTAATCCTTCGACCTTATCACAGTGCTCACAGTCTACTTACCTCAGCCGCTGGATGTACAGAAATGGAGATCTCTTTACGTCCAACTGAAACTGATGCCCCAGAAAGGAATTTAGTCAAGCGCTGTATCTTGTCAAGTATTGACTCTTCAGATATGGAATTGATTGGTGTAGCAACAGCCTTCTGAAGGTCAAATTTTAACTGCTTCAGGGACTTGTCAGTGTTCAATGGTTCAGCTGTCTTTGTTATCTCAGCTTTGTAACTGAGTAATCGTGAATACTCATGCCAAGCCCATTCTGAAATGCAAGAGGTAAGCTCTTTAGACAGACCAGACGTCTTTTGTTTACCAGAAGTTGTTTGACTAGCTGAAGCAGATATTTGGCTGTTCTGGCGTTCTCTTGCAGCTCTCTCGGCTTTTTCTTTCTGAGCTTTTTCCTTTTCCTTTTTCTCTTCCTCCTCCTTTGCTTTGGCCTGACGCTCAGCTTCTTCTTTCATTGCTTTTACACTGATCTCCTCGACAATGTTTTTAGTCTTTTGAAGCATGGCTTGGATCAGAGAAGAACACTCATGCATAATCTTCTCATTCATCTCAGTGACTTGTCCCTTTTCATTTGCATCATCAAAAGCGTTCTGTGAAACTTTCAGGACCTTATCTACCTCTTTAAGCACATCTGTCATTGACATTGACAATGACGACTGATACTTACATTGCTGAAAAATCTGTTGAATGGTTGAAGAAGTTTCCCTAATACTAGTGAATGACACTTTCAGCTGCATTAGCTGTTTCTTGATCTGTTGTTCTTCTTTAAGAACCTTTAATCTTAAAGCCTCTACTTCTTTTACTTTTCTAACAGCCTGTTGTGCATACTCTTCATGTGACTGTTCAAGTTGTTGCTGACGTTGTCTAGCTTCCTCGCTTTTTCTCTTTTCATCTTCTTGTAGTGCTTGCACAGATTTAATAAATTCCTCAACTCTTTCATTCTCTTTCTCTTGTAAATAATTATCTTTTTCTTCCTGTAATTTTTTAGAATTTTCTATCATCTTCTCTTTTCTTAAACGGAGCCTATCCTGTGCTTGCAGATGCTTTTCTTCCGTATAATTTTTGGTATCAATATGCGTTCTATCGAAGCTTGCCTGTAATTCCTTTTCAAGCAGGTCAGCCTCCCTCGCTTTAATTCTGTCACTTTCTACCGTACGTTCGACACTACTAGAAGCGCTATTAATAGAAATAACATCGGATTCTGACTCTTCTACACGCTGATTTATTCTTGCACCTCCTGACAAACTCAATGACTTACTCGTTGGGAAAACTGACGACAAGATTTCCTTTGATAAGCGTGGTGGTTTAGAAAACTCTTCGAGAGCCTCAGTGGTTGGTTTCCAATTCGGATCATATTTAAGTTGACCTTTTGGAAGGGATGCTAAGCCTCGCAAGACATTTAATTCCATTGTCCTGTTCGTTGGTGACGATCCAGTAGTTTGAACATCTCTTCGTAAAAGCACACGAGGGGCCGCCATTTTGATACTCGAACGGACTGGTACCAAAGTAACGGAATTCCCTGCGTTCCTGAGTTCCTAGCATTTTTTAACTGATGTATATCCTTCAACATAACAATAATTTTGTAGCCCCCCAAAACCTTTTTATTTTTTATATGAATTTTTCAAATGCTTAGCAAACTGAAGAAAAAAACCAGAATATCGGAATTTTGCTTAGTGCATTTTTTGACAGGTAAAAAAAACGCCTTTCTCACTTCCCTAACGACTTTTCGTTGACCCGTCTGTGTGGATGCGACTCGGTTGCTAAGTAGAAAAGAAAGCCAACAGCCAATCAAAATGAAACCAGAAGCGTCATCGAGAATTAATTTGCGCTGCTGCACATACCAAAACTTGATTCGATCGTTTCTTTGATTTTAAACCGTTCCATAGTGATTTGGAATTGTTGGTGAAATGGAAGCCTCGATCATTAATTCCTGGGTGACTTGGAGGTGACACAGTTCAGAATTCAAACTACCCAAGGGTCTTGTTTGTGGCTTGTATTTGAGTCTGTTTGTATGTCAAGTACCAGCTGAATTGAGGACCGCAGACAATTTAAATTTCCATAATGAGTTCGAACTGTCGTTGTATATTTCATTGGAAACTTTTTATCTTCATTCTTTTATCTGTTTGGCATCTACCTTCTACGAGCGGCCAAGGTTATTTTCCAAACCTTGTGGATCTTGCCGTACTTAAGCCCATCAGTTCTTCTTCAACTTGTGGAGCAACGTCTAGTAAATATTGTCAGTCTTCGACTAGAGCATCTTCTTTGCAGATTTGCGAAGAAAGAACGTGTAAATTTGATTGTTGTTCAAGCTGCGGCGACAGCAAGCCCGTTGCTAGAGATTTGGCGGAATTTTCAAGCAAGCAAGGTGTCACACAAGACGGTGATCCAAGAAATGGATCAAATGTTAGCTCTTTTCGATTTCAGGGAAACTCTGTTATATTACCTCTCAGGGTTCCTTCAATAAACTACGTAAACCCTGGATTCACAGTCAGTGTGTGGATTAAACAGAAGGCAAGAAACAAAGGGTAGGTATTAAAGGAAAAGTGAGCTTTCCTACTTAAACGCCAAAAGAATTGTTTAGCTTAGGGTCTCACATGTGCAAGTGACACAAAAACAACGGGGTACACATTTAATTAATGGTGATGTAATGTAGGAAAGAGTACACACTTTTGTATATTGTTTATCGAATCTTCTTACAACAACTTATTGAAATGGACTCCAGCAAGTGTGATCAACATTAAGGTTTACAAGCTAAACAGATTCATAGAGCTCAGAACTATTCATATTTTAAAATAACACTTTGCTAATCAGACATTTTAATGTTTGATCATTGAAGCATGCCAGAATACTCATCTTTATGATTTAAACTTGAGTACTTAGGCCCGATTCTTACACCGCACTTTTCATGTTAAACTATTGTACATGTAGGCCAGTTTACCCATGGACTGGAAGGGGTTTCACTTAATCCGTGAATTGACCGGCAAACAGAGCTTGAATCGGGATAAAACTCATGAAATTCAGTCTTGATTCGTGAATTTATTATATTCACTGTGACACATGATCCGTTAACATTGTAGTTTGTGAATCAAGATTTCTACCAATAAAACAGATGTAAGTATGGTGACGAGGGTTCAAAGTTAAACCATGTATAAGTGAAAAAACTATTGTTGAGCTTCGATTTTATAGCAATAAAATTCATTGCCAGTCATCTTTGTAGTCATCAAACAAAAAAGCAGAGAAACGCCAGTTTGATCACCATACTTTTTGTTTCCTTCTCATCATGGGGTCATATTTTCATACCAACTCTTGCCTACTATAGTAGTCTGGCAAGCAATATTTAAGAATCATTGATGGACTTGAAACCACTCCAAAAGGTAAAGCGACTCGTGGATGTACAGAAATTTAACCTGTGGTTTAAGATCCCTACACCCCCAGTCCTTCCAGACCCTGTTACCCTTATAGGAGTGATAGCGGCTGAGACTCACCCAGACACCAAAACACCCTTTTTTTGGTGGGCTTATACCTGCCAACTGGCTTATATGCCGTATGCGTGAGTGTCACGGCTGTTGACTAAAGGCAGTGATCTCTTGCATCAGGGACATCATACCTGACTCACAAATCTGGATTAATGGTTAAAGATCATAAGAACATCTTCAGACAACCTTAGGAAGTCTTCAGAAAATCTTGGGAAATTCTCAGAAGTCACTGGGATATTTTCGGAAATCCAAGTTATGACAAGCCCATTCTAGGGTTCACAGCCATTTTTAGGAATTAACCACACCCCCTGACCGCCCCTTCCTCACTTCTTGAGGAATTTGAATATAAATTAACCCTGACTGAATTTTTTCATCTTTTCTTTTTTATAACTGCAGGACAATAATTTCTAAAGATGAAAACACAGGTCCAAATTTTGCCAATGTATATCAACTGGTCATTCAAGACTACAACCTTATGTTTTTCTACCGGCCTACCACTGGAAATGCATCTGTCACAACGTACAACCTTCTGCAAAGTCAAAGTGAAAAACTGCAGCCAGATGAGTGGCATTTGATAACTGTTACTGTTATTGATAGAGGATTGTCATATTATATTGATGGAGAACTTATGAATGCAAATTATGCAACTCTGACAGGGCCAATCTCTGATGGAGGAGGAACTATCCGGATTGGACAGAAATATGGAGGTGAGTGTCTGAAAGGCTAAAAGCACAAGTTGCCACAATTTTTAGGGTCAGTTTGATCTTCTGTTATTGCAAAAAATGTGAAGAATAAGTAGTTAAACTCATCGGCAATAGATGAGCTTGGGAACTGGTGCCTTAAAGGTTGGACGGGAGCCTGAATGTCTCAGGCATAGCAAGGAGGTATCCATGGCAACCCTGCGAGCGGGAACCACCCCTGCATGCAGCCACCAACTGGTACCGTCACACTGAAAGAATTCAGTGGAAAATACTCACGTAACCTAATACTTACCAATGCACAGAAGGGGAGGGACAGGCTGGGAGCCAGAATCCGCAATGATTTGCTGAGCAATAGATCCGCAAAGATCAGCTCAAAAATGCCAGCCTGAGATGCAACGTAAGTCACAAGATAAACAAAAGACCCCTGCAGACACCCCTCAGATCACATACTCTTGGGGAGGAGACTGCTGTCCGTATTAGCTTGCAATTTATCTTTGCCTAAATTACATTTAGCCACATAATTCAGTCTATAAGTCCAGCTTAGAGCCTTGCAATCATGTCAACTTTCCTTAGAGTAGAAACTTGCTTCAATTTGACCTAGACAATTCTCCATAAAATTCCCCCTGGTCTATGAAGAATGAGGGGCGGGGGGCTATTAAGCAGTTCAGAAAAAATGAAGCAATGGGCGATTCCAGAAAATATCCATACCATACCACGGAAGGCTTTAAGGATTTCCGAAGGGGAGGGGGGATTCACGATTATGGAATTCTGAAGGCATGGGGGTATTTACGATTTGAAATCCGAAGGTATGGGGGAATTCCACAGGTGGGATTTCTGGAGTAGAAAGTGTAGAGTAAGTTCCTGGAAAACGCTATTGTTGTGGACTTTTGTAGTTCGTAAATAAACCACGAACGTATGACTGCGGAAGCAGAAGACAAGCATCGATAGATCAGACACGTGTTTACGCTCATAACTTATAGAAGTGAACAGTAAAACGTTGGTCACATTTACCTTGATGAATTTCTTGTCACGTGAATAAAAACTGAAAATGTATCTTTTAATACCGCTTGCAAATTTCTTGTTACTCCCGTCCGAAACTGTCCGATAAACAGTAAAAAACTCGCACCAGTCCCTCACTTCCAAGGAACGCCTGTCAGATTAGAACGCTTTTCGTGCGCACTACATGATTTATAAAACGACGCAACACGACTCGACGATATATTTGACCGCCAAAAGATTTTAACAGTCTGTTTGAGCTATTTTCCTTTGTAAACGTCAAAACAGCACAAGAAAACAAAGAGGAGTAAAATTACCTTAAGTGGTGTTTATTTTTATAGCCAAATTCGGACTTAAAAAGGAGTTTGCGCGGCCTGGCAACTAGCGTAGGTTTTTCTTGTCACTGAAGAGTAAAGCTTGTCACCTGGCGCCACTAGATCACAGCCTTGACGAGGCATAAATTCATGTTCATTTGTTCTTATAGGCGTTGCTAAGTCGAAAATGTACTTCCAAAAAAAACCGGAAATTCTGAAGGGGAGGGGGGGTTCACGACTATGGAATTCTGAGGGCATGGGGGGGTAGCGCATTTTGGAATTTCCGAAGGCAAGGGGGGGTTAAAACATGGAAGCCGTCCGTGGTTGGGTATGGATATTTTCTGGAATTGCCCAATGAATTAAAAGGAGACAGACTGATGATTAATATTAGTGTTGCTTTATTACTGCAAATATCTTCAAGTAACTGTCAAGATTGTTCATCAGGAGAATGCCTCAGTATGATGCATGCAAAAACAAAAGTTTTAAGTCATATACAGAGATGAGAGATGAGCTTGGTGGGAGGTGCTTGAGTTGCCGGTTCGGGCCATGAACTACAGCTGAGCGCAATGCATAACCATGACAACCTGGGAGTGGCATCCACCGAGGCACTGTGACATACTGACCATATACCGGTACTTACCAGAGGGGAGGGATGGGTAGGGAGCAGAAAAACACTTTCAAAAGCACTAGTGATGATCGGCAACGACATACAAATGAAATGACTTGACCTCAAGCAAATGGCTGTAAAAAGACCCACCAGCCTCTGTGATGCAGGTAGGGTGCCCCCACATATCACCAATGAGAGAGACAGCTGACCAGCACTGTCTCAAGCTTAACTTTGCCTAATAAATATTAATTTTATTAGTCTACATGTATATACATTTTATATTCTTAATTTAAGATAACTGTTGTACCATTTCTAGGTCTTGACCAGTATGAAGGGTTTATGCAGGATATTTTGATGTATGACAGAGCCTTGACCAACAGGTAAATACAACCCAGACCTCTTTTTCCCTCTTGAATATGTGGTTTTATAAACTCCCAGGTCCTTAGTTAATTTATTGGAGGTTTGGACTCTATAAATGTCCGTGAATTGCCAACATGTGGTTCTGTTGGTTCTACTCAATCTCAATGCTGAGAAAATTTTGTAAAAATTTCTATCATGAATTTTTTTATATAAATCATATAGTTTTTTAGTAAAATTTTAATACTTTTTAAATATTTCCTTATTCACATTATTTTTTAAACTAGCTTTTTTATTAGGTCCAATTAATATTTTGTAAATTTTAATCATGTATTTTTTATAGTTTTTTGTCAGTTAATGTGATTTTAGATGTAATACGCATTTGATCATATGCACATGAAATTTGCGTATTATAACCAATTATTTAGTGACAAATTTATTACTGCGGACTCAGGTTGAGTGCTTAATGACGTCCGTTATCGCGTTCGTTATCACGGTTGATTGGTTGTGTTGCGAGGCAAATTGTCAGACGTTGCTAGGCGGGGATGATATCGTTCTGTCTTACTATTTTACAAACAGAGTAACTCCAGTATATATTTTCGAAGAAGAACTTATGAGCCTGGAATACTGCAAGTTCGTAGAACACATTGTGAACGAGGTGCTCCATCTCCGAAGGATGAATTCATTGCGACTTACAGTAAAGGAAGATGAAACTGTTGACGTGGTAGATTTGTCCAGAAAGTATTTCAGCTTGCAGATGAACGCTTTGTTAGACAAAGGAAGTAAGAGCATCAGAATAAGAGTCTTTGAATTCACTTCGCCAGCCGTAGATAATGGTATTGATTACAGAATAGAAAACATGGCTGAGACGGGAGCAGAGGATCGCAAACTAACACGGATGCATGTTCGACACTCACTAAATTTACAAATCGACCGGGAAATATCATTGTTAGTGGGTTACCTCCTCCATCAATGATTTTATCGATGATGATATGTCTTAGATCAGAAGATAAAGGTTTTCCTGGGATATAAGAGCGACGGCTCTTGCTTTAATACGGTCAACATGTTTACATTCTTTAACGCGCCTTTCCTCCGACAGATCACTGTCATCCCCGCCTAGCAACGTCTGACAATTTGCCTCGCAACGCAACCAATCAACTGTGAGAACGAACACGATAACTGACGTCATTAAACGCTCAACCTGAATCCGCAGTATTATTATTATAAATTATATGTTATATTCATTTATACTCACCATTTGAGACTGGTGACACTGTTTTGAATGCCTCTTGTTATTCTTTTGTGATATTTTTGTTTTTTTGTTGATAATACATGTATATATTTTATTTTTCTTCAATATAATTATTGTACTGTTATTTTGGTAAATGTCATTTTTATGTCTAGGACTTTGATTCTTCTTGATCTGTAACTGTACACATACAACATAATTTAAGATTCTGCTGATTGCCGTAGGCAGGGAAGGGTCAAAGGCCTCATTATAAAACCTTAAAACATTTTATTCAACCACTCATTCATTTAATATTCCTTAATTTCTTTATTTTTTCAGGGAAGCAATTGAGCTTTTCACAGGTGTCCTGCCATCAGCTTATGTTGCTAGTAATTGCCGTTGTCCACCCACGCATCCCAAAATCAATGCTGCTGAGCCAGCAAAGTGCCTGAAAAATTTGGAAGGAAATGCCACTGACACAGTGTCTCGCTTAGCAGATACAGCACATCCTATAGAGTTTGCAACCGATGGGGATACACTTAGTTTCTGGCTGTCAGAGATCACTGAAAATGTTACCATTGATATTAATTTAAAATACACTGGATTTCAGGTACATCAGGGCTTTTGATGAGTTTTTTCAATTTGATCAGTGTTGATTAAGTTATTTTTATTTTCCGTGTTGCTTTTGTAATCATTTTATGAGCCATACGGGAGAAGTAATAATGAAAAGGGTACCTCCAGGCATGATGTTAAGCCATCTGCCAGCTATTGCCTGAACTTATGTTCAAGACAATCCCGATCATCTCAATCCCTGTTTCACATTTTTTTGGGATATGATCGACAGATACAAGTATTAATGCCTTGTGATAGTTGACAATAATGTTCCTATTTATTAACATCTAGAACTAATGATACCCAAAGATCTTAGTTAAATTCAATAATATCATTGTATTTACATGTACAGAATCAAAAAGACCAATACATTTTATTTATTGTACTTTTCAGGTGTTTTATATCGTCTTGACATTCTATGGGCCTTTGCCTGGTGCAATAACAATTGAGCGATCAACAGACAGTGGAAGTACTTTCCAGCCCTGGCAGTACTTTGCAGAAGATTGTGTGGCATCGTTTAATCTACAAAATAATGGCCCTTTGTCTGAACCAGATTCAGTCAACTGTATTCAGTACATCAAGTGAGTTTCAGGTGTATTTCTTGCCTAAGCTTTGGGCCTTGACAATAAACTTATTTTTTGCAATGGTACAGTCAGGTAGATCGTTGTTGTTGCTGATTGTCGATTAGCAAATCTGTTATGAATTGACATCTCCTCATGAATTGTTCTTTAGGCACTTATATAAGCAAAAAAAATAAATTACATGTAACCCTCATTCAAAATAATTCCTGGTTTGAAAACATACTAGCTAAAACATGCTTACCTGCATCGATGTTAAGTTCATCTTTGATATACTGTACGTTTAGGTTTGTCCAGCTCGGCAAATATTCTCCAAATAGCAGATGTCGCCCTCCAAGTTGTCTTCTTGCTGTTTTTGCCATGTTTTTAGCTATTATTTTGCCTAGTTCCAGTTCTTACTCTTGAAATGAGTGAAACGTCTGCCTTTTTTTTTTCACAACCAAAACAACTCAACCTCGTTCCCTGGTCTTCTCGGTAACAGTGCCTTAACCTGTCAGAGGGCTGCATTTTTGACGTCTTTTCCTCGTTAAACACAAAATTCTTCCAAATTTGGTCATCAGTAACTGGTTATGGTGAATTATGCTTATGCTTTAAGCCAATCAGAATCGGGGAAATATTTTGATTGAATAATAAACATGTTTAATTGTCCATTGTCTGTTATACACATTATAACTTAACCTACAGCCAACTTTTATCAAAGACAATTTGACATCTGATCTATCAAAAGATGATTAGAATCTTGTTCCTCTGTGATTCTGTTAGACCATGAGACTCAAGTTACTTCATAAGATCAAGATATTAATTTTTGTGATTGTATCAAATTGGAAATTATTACTTTTAAAATAAAAATGTTTGTGTACTTTTTAAAAATTTCCAGGCCATTACAGTCAAGCCGAGAGGCCCTTGCATTTCAGACAGAGTATCCACCCCCTTCTGGCTCCAATATTCCTGTTCGGCCATTTGGTCAGGGATGCAGCAACCTTTATTGCTCAGAGAAACTCCTTCAGTTTTTGAAAGCCACTCATGTCAGGTTGCATTTTGTCAATCATACCCTCGTACAGAATCCTGAGCACCGCTATTATGGGCTGGAAAGAATACTGGTAACTGGGAGGTAAAGTTTGTAAAAGTAGCATAATTACATCATAGTAACCTTACGGGCATTTTAATGTGGCCTTTAGCGAGCATTTCTTCACAAGGCTGTTGATCGAGAGCACAAGTTTCTAAAATTATGTATTTGTAAAATGAAAACAATTCAGAGTTACTTTTTGTTTGCCTGATCGGTTGTCAAAGGATAAAACTTCAAGCAGTAACAATAGTGATACTTTTACATGTAATAATAATATTTTGGTTTGTGACATTACATGGATTTCTCGCATTTTTCACTGCCCTTTTCTCCAAAAGACACAGCCAACATCATCACTGAAATTCTCAGTTATCATTCTTTGTAAATTAACTTTCCACTAGAAGTGATTTGAGCCAGGCGGTAAATATATAATGGTAATTAAACTGAGTGGAGTGCAATTTGGTCTCAAATCATACGCGTGATTTCAAAATCGAACGAGCGCGCAGCCCGAGTTCGATTTGAAATCACAAGTATGATTTCAGACAAAAATTGCACGACACGAAGTTCAATTACCACTTTATTACATCCATTTTGAAATCGCAGAATTTAGTCAGTTCTAATATTTTATTGATCGAGTAGCCGGTTTGTTAAAAAGCGGAAACAAAAAGGCTTTTACATCTCATTTTGTATTCGAAGCAGAAATGATGCGATATAGAACAAAAATGGTGCGATTTAAAACAGAAATGATGCGATTAAGAACATGAATGACGCGATTTGGAACAGATGCGATTTAGAGCAAAAAATGGTGCGATTTAGGATTAAATCACATTGCTGAGAACCAATCAGATTGCACGGATAGCCAGTGATTTCAAAGCGGATGTAATAAAAATAGTCATACTGTAGAACATAGAGAATGTTACCGTGCTAGCAGAGATTTCTTAATTTCTTGCATGGCTGTTAGTATTTATGAAGTCGTTCCTCACGTCTCATGTCAGTCGCAAAGTCAGTTTGCTCTGTTCGCAAGGTAAAGAGATCTTGGTTCTGATTACTAACGTGTCCTCTACATTATTTGAAAACCTCACTCTAGACTAATTACCCAGCAATTAGCTGTCAGCTATGGCCTTAGTTACCTTACACCTTGAAAGCACTTTTACATTTACAGTCAAAACCTAGCCTGCGTAATAGGTGCCGGTTTTGTTAGCGTGAAGGGAAGAATTTCGAAGACGCGCGCGCGCACGAGGGGAGAAAGGAGATGAGACCTCCTTTCCCCTTCTCGCGCTCTCCTCGCGCGCTACATTGTGTTTACAAAAATTTAATAACCAAACAAATTAACCGGCGCCTGCCATGCAGGCTAGTCAAGACTGCTTAACTTAATATGTTGGAAGAAATGAGGGAATATTTGTAATTTAAAGTATTTGTTTGACACTTTTTAACTGAATATACGATAATTATTTCTTCTGTTTTACAAGGTGTGAGTGCTTTGGCCATGCATCAACTTTCTTCTACATTGAAGGCAGTGGAAATCAAATAGGCCGATGTGTTTGCAACTGTCAACCGTCAACTAATACTGAAGGAGAAAATGTTAGTTACTGTGATTTCTTGTTATTGTCTCTTTTACTTCCTTAAGACTAAAATGAAATATCATTCAAGAAAAATTATGCTCAATTTCATTCATTATTGACATACAGAAAAACTAACAGTAGGGATTTTAAGATGTCAAGACGTCGACTTCAACGAGAACGCCAAAAAAGTAATAGGTTTAATCTTCCGGGTACATTTCTTTGCCGTCACTGCACGACTACAATGTGGAATTGCCTAATAAGCGATTTGCATGATGACGTCTTTTTACTACTAAGACCATAATTCATTTCGTTTTTTCCTTCATATATAGATGTGATAATCCCAGTGAGGTTTAAATAATCAAAGCCCTAATTTGTACAAGAAAGCAAAACCCTAAAGGATTCTGGTAGTAGTAGTAAAATGACACCATCCTTCAAATGGCTATTTCACGTTTTATCAAACGTGTACAAACGACTGCGAATTGCTCTCTCTATGGATACTTGGATATTTTAGGAGTTTTTGACACAGCGAGGGAGTTGGGATATTGGCCCTGGCGTTTCTAAAAACGCGAAGTCACCGGGCTTTAAGTGACGTTTTCACTGCCATCGTTGTCTTGGTTACAATAATAGCCTGTGAAAGAAGTGCTAGTTTATTTGATTGTTTTCCTTGAAATAAATTGTGAGGTCGCGAAGGGGTTACATTTGGATAGTCAAACAATAGGATTTGTTCGGTGCACATACACAAAAGTAGTCATAACAGACTCTGAATTTTAAGAGCGTCAAACTTTGGTTCTCGGAAGTTCATATATTGATGAGCTATTGCGGACGACAAGCGGAGTCCGCAGTCCTAATCTCCAGGTTTTTATTACGCATTCGTCGTATGTATGTAGCCAGTATGAGTTTGGACTTCCACTAAGAATGAATGGAATGCACAGAACGCAATTCGATCACGCGCGTACGCGCGTCTGGACGTTCTATCACTCGTAATCTTATCACGCCTGTTTTGACCATCTGTCACGTGAAACTTACGCAAAGCACATCGTTGGAGCAAAAGCGTTTTGACCTTTGATCGTACTCGCCAGCACTCCGTAACCTTTGGTTATTACTAGTATTAATCGTAATTTTTTTTTTCAGTGTCATCGTTGCAAGTCCTTATACAACAACAAGCCATTTTTACGAGGTGATCGAGATAACGCCAACCCCTGCATCAAGTGCGAGTGTAATGATCATGCCAATAGCTGCATTTATAATCAGACCCTAGATACAAATCCCAACTCACGCACTGTCGGGGGAGGGGGTGTGTGCATCGATTGTCAGCACAATACGACTGGCCGTTACTGTGAGATGTGTAAGGAAATGTTCTATAGGGAGTCTGGGAAGAGTCTTAAGGCTCGTGACGTGTGCACGCCCTGTGGATGTGAGGGGCCTGGAGTGCTGCCTGGAAAGTTGGATTGCGTCAAGGTAGGCAGTGTGTAATTAGCCTTTGTGACAGTCAGTGCGAAATAGGAGAAGACGTTTCTCTCCTTAAATGACCAAAAGTAAATTTTCAAGAAAACCTTTAGACGTAGGTTCGAAATCCAGTGGAATTCGCTGTTTCTTTTGTGTTTTACAGAGTCAAACATTGTTGTAGGCTCGAATGGTTAGAAAATTTTTATTTAAATAGTTGTTTTACAGAAAAAGGTGACTTTACGGTTTACTTAAAAACGTATGATAGTGGCCCGGTATGACAACTTTATATATATTTTTCCTACTTAGTTTCTGTTACACTTACACTTTAGTTTGACCTACTAAAGACAGGTTATTTGCATTAGTGTCTCCAATCAGAAATCATGTTACCATGGAGTTGCATGGCGACTAAACGGTCAACCAATGAAGCGAAACCACTCTTATCTTGCGTAGACCTCCTTGCCTGCTCAATAAAGACATTTAATAACTTAGCGATATTTATCCAAGGTCCCGTTGGTATGGACGCTTCGACTTCGCAAAAAGCATCTTCTTTATCAGCACCTTCTTTATCTGTACCTCAGTATTTCCACACACTTAGTAAAAATTCTTGAATTCATGTTATTCGCTGCTTTGTTCTTCAAACTACTTTCAATGATTGTATTATAAGTAACGATTGTATTGTAAGTAGTTCTTTTCTTAACGAGCTGCGCATTCGGGATGAAATGCTCACGTTACTTTCGGAATTGACCCGTTGGCTTCTGCTTGCCTTTAAAGTGCTGTAAATTAATTTAGACTGCATCAAATCTCATCCTATAAATATCTTATACCAGCCTAGTCCCAAATCCCAATGCGTTTTCGGCTCGGTCAAACCCACACCCTGCTCTGAGCCGTGATGTCACCGAAAGAGACTAGCCGACCCCCCAGGCTTTGTGTGGACAGCAAGGAGAAAACGCGTAGGGACTGGGCTAATATTATACATCTCTTATTAGGATAATTCGAATTCAAGCGTTCTTGCTGGTCAGTGTGAGTGTAAGGCTTACACAGTTGGGCGTGAATGTGATCAGTGCAAAGATGGCTTCTTCGATCTCAAAGCGAGTCACGCGACTGGTTGTGTTTCATGTGGGTGTGTGTTAGATGGAACGCAAAACAGGAACATTTCATGTGATAGCTCTTCAGGACAGTGTTACTGCAAGGACAGAGTGACAGGTAAACTAGCTTGAGAAGACTATTGCCACCACTGGTTTCTCGCGAAATGACTTCTGAGAAATGAGCGCAGAAATTCCATACTGATGACGTGTTACTACCAAGATATGAGTGGTGGTGCTCATGAGATGAAGCAGATTTTCAGCCAATCAGACGCACTACCCAGATCTTGAATAGTGACACGTCATCAGTATCGAATTTCTACGTTCGTTTCTCAGACGTCATTTCGTGGGGTAACCAGTGGTGACGAAGCGAAATGTCGGCTGTTTTTTCGACTACAGGTAAACAGAACTTTTAGATTCTTCTTTGTATCGATGTTCTCTTTTTCAACATTGTGTGGTGCAGGGAAATGCTGAAAGAAGAAAGTTCCTCGAGATAAGCGTGTTATTTTTTAATAACTACTTTATTGCAAGACACTACATATATTGGGAGACACTACGTACGATACTTCCACCTTTGCTTTACCTAGACCTGGAAATTCATTTCAAAACTTGCTCTTCAAGGATAACTATAACTTGATTATCAAACTAATCGTTTTTCCATCATCAAGTTATAGTGATTGTTGAAGATCAAGTTTTGAAATGAATTTCCTGTTCTAGGTAAAGCAAAGGTGAAAGGAGCGTACGTAGTGTCTTGCAATATGAACCTGAGAAATATTTGCGTATAGAATACAAAATTTATAAATGCTTCTAGGCTTTCTAAAAGTCCGTTTTGGTTGGGTTTCGCTACTCCAAAAAGTCGGCTTGTGAGGAAGTTTTTAAGTAGAATACACGAGACGATTCGTAACGGTGATTCTTAGCCCAATACAATGTCGCAATATTGGAACAATGTTGCATCCATTCGAAATAATGTCATAACAATGTTGCAACGCTGTGTTGCGCTAAAATCCGTCGTTGCGAATCGTCTCCTATAACGTCACCTTCTATAAAAGTTATAAATCGGCGGATGCCCGTTTCTATGGCAGTACATGTTACCTTACTCTTTACTGTTGTATATTTTACAGGTAGGACGTGTAACACATGCAGATCTGGGTATTGGGGTCTTTCTGGACAAGACGCTTTAGGCTGTAAAACATGTGACTGTGATCCCTTTGGGACCACACCCGGAAGTGTGAACACGTGCAATTCAACTACAGGGCAATGCTCTTGTAAGCAGGGTGTGATCGGAAGAAAATGTGATCAGTGCGCGGATGGCTACCATACTCTCACACAAAATGGCTGCACCTCTTGTAACTGCTCCGTGGAGGGAACGCCTCCATCGCTCTTGGACAAGTGTAACAAAAACACCGGTGTCTGCTCTTGCAAGCTGAACGTGGAGGGCAATAACTGTGATCGATGTAAATCAGGATTTTTTAACCTGTCACAAAGCAACCCTCAAGGCTGTGAACAGTGTGCGTGCGACACCAAAGGCACTGTGGGAGGATCGGGACAGTGCGATCAGCAGTCTGGAAACTGTACCTGTAAGCCATTGGTGATCGGGCAGAGATGTAACCAGTGTAAAGTGGGAACGTTTGGTCTCAATCAATCAAATCCCAATGGATGTGAACCATGTAATTGTTTTCCAAAAGGCACTATTGATGGCGACAGAAAAAGTCCAGGTAAGTACACTTCAGCTTATTTGTGCAAGTTACGTATAAAGAAAGGCAGGGACCAACCCTAGGTGTCCGTTTTACAGAGGTGTCCTTCTTATAGAGGTGTCCGTTTCCATAATTTGGAAAGAAATAGTTTCAGGACAGTACCCGGCTTTTTTAAATACCTACTCTTCTGTTTTAATCGAGCTTAATAGACTAGGCCCCAGTTGTTCAAAGGTAGATAACGCTATCCACCGAATAAATCTCTATCCACTGGATAGCGCCACTGGTTTCACTACTACTTGTCTGTTGGATAGGGATTTATCTGGTGGATAGCGCTATCCAACTCTTGAACAACTGGGGCCAGAGTTATAGGGGCTCAAATCCGCCAAATCCCACCCAACTATTATCTTTAGATCCTCTTTTTTCCTCCCCTCCCCTCCCCTCACGTTCAGCCAAGATGGCGTCAAAAGCGATGAAAAAGTCTGTTTTCTCAGATATTTTCTGACTCGGTCTCACTTTACGGGTATTCATACGATTAAAAATATCGGAAAACTGCATGCTTTCACCGACCCGCGTTAACTTTTCGCCTCCTTCTTTTTCAGATGAGCTTCAATGTTCTAGTAATGGCCAATGTCCTTGTCTGTCCAGCGTGACTGGATTGCGATGTGATTCCTGTGTCTCTGCGTACTATTGGAATCCCTCGGGCCAAGGATGTGTCGAATGTCGGTGCAATAATGTTGGCTCTGTTGGTAGAAACTGTAACGATACTGGTTACTGCACATGCAAAGCCAATATTGGTGGACGTCAATGTGATCGTTGTGTCGCTGATTACTATGGTTTTATAGCTACAGGAAGGTACGATATAGATTAGTAGTGTTCTGAATCAATGTAAAAATAAAGTAACGTTTTTCTTTACTAGCCCAAACGTCATTTCAACTAGCCCCAAAAACATTTTGAGGAGCAGAATTGATTTCACAGTTCTTCAGTAATTTGAATTCCTCAAAAAACTTCACTTGTCCGTCGGGCAAGTTAGGAACAAAATTCACTAGCCCGATAGCAAAATCCACTAGCCCCAGGCTACCGGACACTACTTTCTTTGCACCCTGCCGGGGGAGGGAGGGGGTGGAGTAACGCGTGACAAAACCTTGAGAACGTATGCAAAGGAGGCTAGATTACCAATCAGAAGTTTTTGTTTAGGAAATGAACGCGTATTCGCGGAGAAAAACCGGGCCCAAGTGGCTAGCAAAAAAACGAAACTTAACTTTTAAACAGTTATAAAACTTAGCGGTTAAACACATTCCCACGACAAGCTGGAATGCCATTTGCCAATTGACAGATGGAATGCAGTATGGTTCACCTCGCTCCACCGTGGGTTCTCCGAAGGTTTTGGGTGAGCTGTGTCCCCCAGGTCTTAGTCGTTGTTACAAAAAACACAAAATTCAAACCAAAACAACAACAACAAAATTACGTTTGCAAAGCATTCAGATCAGCTGCTAAATAAGGTTGCAAAGTTTTATCTCTTAAATAACTTCACTTTCACCAGTTTTCTTGTCGGAGACAGGATCAGTGTTTTTAGCCTGGGTATCCCATGTCACTAGTGATTTGGGTACGGGGACTAGTGCCCAAAATACGGGGATGCCTAAATCACTGAAACAGCCCTGGTAAGAAAGAATCGGCATGCAAAATGGACCCAGTCTTTTTCTCCTTTTAAAACTAAATAGCGACTGCAGGAAATACTAAGCGGTCGTTCACCCAAAAGGTGGGCGTGTACAGTTCAATTAATGATTTTTGTTGCGATAGTAAACGTGAAACGATGATCCAGTAACTTGAGTCCAGGCCATTCTGATTTTCCTCTTGGGATCATTTGTGGTTGACAATGGGGATCACTTGCGGTCGAGGATCATTTGCGGTCTGGGGATCATTTGTGGTACTGTTACAGCACTGCAGGCTTAATACAGTTTATACTCTTCAAGGAAAGTTCCACCAGAAAAAAACTTTGACCCTTTTTTTTTCAACCTAAAAGCTCTGTGCTTTAGACTGCCGCGACACAGCCACTTTCACACGAAATCCTCTTTAACTCGAGCACATGTCGCTTTGCCTGAAACTAAACTTCCTTTGTTATAACGCCTTGTTGTATTTACTCTAGCTGTATAGCTTGCAACTGCAGTGTAGCCGGGAGTCTGCTTAGTCAGTGCGATGAAAGCGGCAAGTGCACTTGTAAACAGAACGTGGAGGGAAACAAATGTGATCAGTGTAAAAGTGGAACAGTTAATCTTCAACAGAACAACAAGTATGGCTGCAGTGGAGGTACGTTAATCTTTTCCTTCCGTTAAATGGTTAAATTGTCATCGACGACCCCTTCGCTTTTTATGAATGTGTCCGCTGTGGTTATACATTCTTAATTAGTCAATAAGCCTAACAAATGTAACATTGGTGCTAGCTGTAACCGATACGGGACTCCATTCAGTCATGTTAAACATAAAGTACCCACCTACCCCTCCCCTAGTCTAGCATTCTGCCGCAAGTAAGAAGTTGGTCAATTGTTAACATTTGGTTGGAGGAGGGGTAGGTTAGCAGTTTCCCAGTATCTCATGCAAGTCCGTTTGCCCTGTACTTTTATCCACCCAGATTTATTTCAAATTGTTTGTAACATTTCAGTCTTCCGTAGGTACCAGACGTTTTTTTCTCTCACGTACGGCCAGATGCGACGGTTTCGGCCGGGTAACTATAAAGACTTCGCCGAAACCGGAAACCACGCATGAAAAGTCTCTGAATTTACTTTTACTAATCAAAAGAAAGTGACACATTTTTCTTGTTTCCAATGACATTTCTTGTGTTTTCATTTTAGCTCCCTCAGAACAGCCGGCACCATTCGCAACAGTTCTGTCTCCTCGCTTCATAATGCTGACATGGTCCCCGCCTGACAATCCTAACGGTATTATCATACGGTACGAGCTCTACAGAAATGGCTCACAGATCTACAGCGGACTGAATCGGACATTCAACGACACGTCACTGACCCCAGATACCGTGTATTTTTACTACATCATTACCTACACGGAATCGGGTAATACGAGAAGTTTGGACGACGGAAGAGTGTATCGGACCTTTCAAGATGCTCCCGGCGGTATTTCCCCACCCAGCATTACCAATATTCTTCCGCGAAATGTAACCGCGTCATGGCAGCTTCCCAGTTCACCGAACGGGCGCGTCATTGCGTATCGGTTGATTTCTACAAGTAGTAGAAGCTCAGTTGAGGTTATTCATTGCAGAGGTATTATTTTCACGTGCGATGTAGGCGGACTCACGCCTTACACTGTGTATAATTTTTCGGTGGAAGCGTGCACTAATGGAGGGTGTGGTCGAAGTAATGTGACAACTATCGTGACAGCTCCGACGCTTCCAGACTTTCAACCTGCACCCAATGTGACGTCATTTCCGGGAGGTAAAGCTGTAGAGGTGGAGTGGGACGAGCCGCCAGAACCGAACGGAAGGATCCTGCGCTATGAGTTGTACATGCGGAGCTCACCATTCCAAGGAGTTGGAACTTTGAAGTACAATAGCAACCCGGCGCATGACTCTAATCCAGTACACTTTAGAAAGACCAACGTCACCGGGCTGCAGCCATTCACGGAGTATGAGTTCCGCGTTATCACCACTACTGCGCAAGTCAGCGGCGATCGAGCGAGCGACTGGACACGCCATAGAACTGGGGAAGGAAGTGAGTCATTTTATGTAACGTGATTTTTCTCTGTTGTCGGTCGCGTGCTTTGTATTGTTACATCTTCTAAAATTGTAAACTCGAAAAGCGACTTGGAGAACCAACATCAAGCTTTTCAGCTTTGGTTGTTTTTATTGTACTGCCCTGGCTTGCCAGTCATCATAGTTACTGTCAAGCTAGCGGTGAGTCAAGCGTACCCCGTACATTCTGTTAATGAATTCTTTGTTTGAAAATTGTAGTTAGTCGTTGCCGATATCAGATTCAGTTCTTCGTCCTTGCACACGTTATGAGCAGTGAATTCACACAGAAGGTAGCTGCTACAGTTTTTTCAGCTCAGTTTTCTCAGGAGTTGAACTCCATATAAATGCCTTCATAGTGACTTGACGCATGCGATTTTTTCATTCGAATACAGAAAGTATTATACAAAACTTCACTGCTGGTTATGCATGCAGGGATGCAATGGTAGCGGCAACAACCAATGAATTCAGTTTTCACGGACTAATAAGAGTGAACATCACGTATTCTAGGCTAAAAAAATCCTTGAATATTTTCATTTTTTTACGCAGTGTCAGTCCCTTACTTAAACGTGGTCAAAAACGTTTTTTCTTTTATTATTTAAGGAAAAGCGTAATAACTGATTTACGCCACTTGTTTTTTCACTCTTAGCTCCTCTGGGCGAAAGTGCAATGAATCCTAGTGCAAGTCCCTTCAACAGTAGCGCTGTCCTTGTTTCCTGGAGTCCTCCCCAGAACCCACAAGGAATCATCACCCGCTATATCGTTTACAAGTACCAGCCCCCTTCAAATACAACGGCCGTGGAAGCTACTATGGTAACTGGATCCCAGCGGCAAGGAATGGTAGATCAACTGCAGCCATATACAGAATATAAATTTACAGTGAGGGCTTGTAATAGCTATGACTGTTCAGGTCATAGTGCGGCAGTCCTTGCTCGCACAAAACCTTCAGGTGAGTGATGAGGAAGTACATTGCCACGATTTAAGGACTATCAATAGAGAATATAAAAGCTTTTTGTTACTATCTTTGCAGTGTGTAGGGGTAATAATTACTGTGTGAATGGCATGGCTTAGCCTGCGAAGCAAGTATTCTACGAGGTGTGAGAAGTGTTTCTGCACCCCATCAATATCTCTTTTTTATCAGCCCCCATAACCTTTACCTACTTTTATCATCAAGGTTGGGGCTTTGTCTGGGTTCCACTGTCCCCCTGTGCGCACAAAGCGCGGATGTTGGAGCAAGAGCAACCTTTACTATTACCCCACCCCTCTTTATATTTTTGGTCTCGCTCTTGTTTGTATGAGAATGTTTGTCATGAAAGATTCACATGGCGTCATACGAAGTAGGTGATAACGAAACTTCCAGGCCTTCGTTAGGTTAATTTATATCCTGAGTTAGTTTTCCGCTCAACAAAATTGCAAATATCTTACTACATCTTACTCAGGGTACTTTTTTACACAACTTAACATCTATTTTTCCTCTTTTCACAGCTCCTGAAGGTCAAAGCTCACCGGAAGTCTTTTCAGTTGATTCATCCACAGTATACCTGAACTGGTCCCAACCCCAGACTCCAAACGGTCCTTTGCCGCCGAGCTATAACGTGAGCCGAGCGTATTCAGCACTCCACCACCCTCCCCCCTTAGTGACGTCAGGAGTTCATTTCCCAGGCCTTGGATACTACAAGTTTCCGTCAGACTTTGTCAGAGCTGGTGCTGAAAACAACATCGAGCTTTGGTTCCGCACCCAATACGCGTTTGGACTGATACTGTTTCTGGTGTCCGATGGCTCTCAAACTGACATGTTAGCTGTTCAACTGCGTGACGGCAAACCTTGGCTGATTTTTGATAGTCAAGACGGTCCTGCTGCCTTCACAATCAGCGAGTCTGTGCGCTTTGATGATAACCAGTGGCATAATGTGAAGATAAATCGTAAGAACCGACGGGGAACGCTCACGGTGGATAGTTACAGTGCCAGTCAAGACAGTCCAGGATCAACTACTGTGATTTCCGCCGACACGGGAGTGTATATCGGCGGCCTTCCTCCATCTTTCGTTTTCTTCCGTCCTAATACTGGTAATTCTCAAATTTTAAGGAACAATTTTATTGGTTGCCTGCGCGGAATCACTTCGGAATCGCAGAGCTTGGATTGGACTTCCGCACTGGAGGCAGTCGGAGTTGAACTGCAAAGGAATGGCTGCCCAGCAAGGGACAAAAAGAAGGCAGTTTTCCTCCGGGGAGGTGGATATATTGAGATAAACAGACAGACTACTGATGTTCTTCAAAGCAACATCTTCAGCTTCACTCTAAATTTTCGCACACAGCTTTCCTCCGGATTGCTTCTATTTGCGCACGGGGCGACCAGTTGGTTTGCGATCCAGTTCGCTGATAATCAGGTAGCAACGATGTACTCGACTTCCAGCATGCACGGAAACCTAACGATTCAACCCTCAACCGGGGAGATCTGCGATGGACGTTGGCATAACTTGACTGTCACTAACTTTCAAGTCGGCCAGCTGAACATTAAACTCGACAACAAAAATGACGTCACTTCCGGAATTAGCAACCTTCTGGTTCAGTCTGTGTACGTAGGAGGGGTCCCGTGGGGTTCCCAGGCTGAGAGGGTTGCCCGGCAGGCTGGTGTGAATGTAGAGACCTCGTTTGGTGGCTGCATTAAAGTCTTTTCTGCGGCATCAGAGATCGATTATCAAAGTGACGTCATGGACATGTATAATGCTGATCTTGATGGCTGTCTTCCTGAGTCTACGATACCGGTCAGCAGACAGAGGGGGAGCTGTTTGCCTTTTAACAGTTCTGTGGTGTATTCTGGAAAGAATGAGAAGTTTAACGATTCTTCAGTTGAAACATTCACCGGTTAGTGTTGGTCTTTTGTTCTTGTTGTTGTCGTATTTTTTGTAATGAGAAAATTGCAAGGAGAATTAAAAACTTCACCCCTCCGCACCATTTCATAGCGTGCGAACTCTCAGTTTTCAAGTCCATCTCAAGTTCGCTTCTTATTTATGGCAGCAACTGTGCAACTCACTGAATCTTTGAAAATTGTTGGAGTGGCAAACACAACCAATAACACAAAATGCAATCCACAATACTTCACCCTGTAAATGTGAAAAGCCACCTGTTTTCCTACACGCCCGTCATGAACATTGCTACTGTTAAGAAAGAATCTCTTAGAAGTTTGCGTGTTTACTGTATTTGAAGGAGGTAAGATTTATGATCTGTTACAGAAATTTTAATTCAATGCACTGTTGTCTTCCTTTTAGATTATCTGTACCGTGTAGAAAGCTATCATGCTGGAACAACAGGTTCGGCTAAGAGTGCGTGGATTGCTACCCGCAGCGGGCAAGGAGGTAAGATTGAGCCAAGTCACTTTACAATAAAGAACCAGAAAGCGGGACTTTTTAGCATCAATGTGAGTTCAATGACTGTAAATGAGGTAGATTTCAATGCAGAGCTCAGAAATTCCCACTACCACTAGGAAAGAAATATACCAAAACACTTTTCATCATTTGGCGATTTTTTACATCTTACTTACCCGTATCTTGTTTACCCGTTAACAGCGCCAACTGGTCTCCAGGCCCCCATACAGCTGATTCCTCTTCCCGGCGGAACAGAAGTGAGAGTAACCTGGGCACCACCAGCCCGGCCGAATGGGGTCCTTACGGAGTACAGAATATTATCTTACCGTGTCCACCCCCGTCAGGCAGTTCCTGCAGAGAAGGTTGTGTCGGATATTGGTGTCTTGAACACCACTGTCTCAGGACTTCAACCTTACACAATTTATGAAATAAAGATCCAGGCCTTCACAGCTGGAGGAAGTTCAGTGGGACCTGGTAAAAATGTCACCACTGAGGAGTCAGGTATTTTAAACATTTGGTTGTAAGACAGTAATTTGTAGCCCTTTTCATGAAGCTAGCTGAAGCTAACATCCTCTTTAGAATGATCCCATGGGTTTTACTCAAAGTAATTACTTAAGAGTTAAACAAACGTTTTTATTTCAGTTCCAGCCGGAGTTCAAGGTCCCTCGGCTGTCCGACGCCCCAGAGAACTTGAAGTGTCCTGGGCTGAGCCTGCATACCCCAATGGAATTATAATTCTATATAACCTCACACTGGATGGGCAACTTGTGTACAGCGGTTCAGATAACAACTTCACAATATCAAACTTAGAAGTTTACACCGAGTATGCTCTGCAGCTGACCGCCTGTACACGAATTGGCTGCGCCCAAGGCCCGATGGTGCGTATAAGAACAGGAGAGTTACCTCCGGAGGGGGTAAAAACCCCAAGGGTAATAGTCCGCGGTAGAACTGAGGTGGAAGTGAACTGGGAAGTACCGAACATTCTCAATGGGGCGATTGTGCGTTATGAAGTACTGTTTGCAACCAGCGATGTTCTGAGTGCTTATGTCTCGAAATTCAATGCCACTCCAAATGTGTTTAGCACCGTTGTTAGAAACCTCACCGCAGGAACATTATACTTTGTTCGAGTACGCCCCTTTACCGGTGGAGGCGGAACCTTCAGCAATGCGACCCAAGTGAGAACACACGAGGATATCCCCGATGACATCCCAGCCCCCACCGTGGTGGCCCTTAGTCCATATGCTCTATATGTGATCATTGTGAAACCAGACAAACCCAATGGGATCATCACGCGCTACGAACTGTACCAGGACAGCATTGTTGATCCCGTGCTGAACGAGACGCAACTGTCAAATTACACAGCAAGTGGTTTCAGCCCGTATAGTCGCCATACCTTCCGTGTGCGAGCGTGTACAGCTCAAGGCTGCGCCTACGGTGCTGTAGCGGTTGCCTTCACAAAAGAAATCGCACCGAACGGAACCGTTACCCTGACAGCAAGCATCCGCAATGCTACAGCGGTTAATGCTCGTTGGACACGCGTGGCAGTGCCCAATGGAAGGCTATTCTATAATTTGATGATTCAAGGAACTTTCATAGTGCCAGGCTCCGCAGAGCTGAGAACAGAAGAGCGCGTTGAGAGAGGAATTTCTGTGGAAGAAGCTGAAAAAGATTTCATATACAATGGTCTCATTCCCTTTAACAACTACACCTTCTGGGTGAATGCGTCCAATTCGGTTGGTTTCATTCTTAGCAATAACGTTACTGGCTCTACTCCTGAAGGAGGTAAGTCACACTTAAAGTAGTTCCTTTCTGATCGAGACAGCATCGCAATATGGGACAAGTTCACTACCATGACGGACGTAAACCATTGGCCGGTTATTAAAGTGTATGTCAAAACCGTGTCCTTCCATTTTCAATTTCCCAATGCGAATATCGAAACAATGTTTATCGTAAATAGTTTCAGAACAGCATATATCGTTCACTAGAAAAGCTGTTTAGCTTCTGGAAATAATCCTTTTCAAACAAAGCTGTAGGTCCTGTGATTTCAGTCTTACACGGCGGCCCAAGTTAGACTATCTTTGAAACAGCCAACCCTTAGTTTCAGTAAGTGTATCAAAACCCTTTCAATCTTTATTTTCAGTTCCTGGTGGTTTGAAAGCACCCAACGTAACTGTTTTAAGCTCTACCTCAGTTCACATCTCTTGGGAGCCTCCTGCATTGCCTAATGGGATTATTCTCGGTTATGGACTGCATCAGAGCGGCGTGCCAACAGTGTTATTCAGTGGACTGGGATTCAGTTTTACCGTTACTAATCTCCAGCCTTTCACGATCTATGAATTCCGAGTCAATGCCAGCACTATTGCGGGATATGGGTTTAGTCCTTGGAGTCAGGCCTCAACCTTTGAAGACGGTAAGTTGGTACCGTGAGGGAGATGCTCTCCTGATTAGCACTTATACTCTGATAATAATATGCTGAACTTAAAGATCATCTAACAGCTTTGTCCTAAAGAAAGAAAGATATGCCCTTGCTTTAAGTAAAATAAGGTTTTATGACATATTAGGTGCAACGATGAGGAGAATTATTTGCGTTTTGGTCTGAAAAATAAAACCGACTTTCGGCTACGAGTGGATACGAGAGAGGGTGTTTCGAATCACAGATAATGTCTCTTTTTTTCGGTTCTGTCGCTTCTTCGGCAAGCAAACAGCATAGACACTTGAATTTAATTAAATTTATATAACTGAAAGTATTACTCTACACTTTTTCCCGTATTCTTTTAGTTCCCAGTGCTCCAGATCCACCGGTGTTTAGAGACGTCGCCTCAACTTCACTGACAGTGAAATGGGGTCCACCTGATCCAGCCAATGGTGTGCTTCTGCGTTACGTCATCTACCAAAATGGCACGGAGATCGCAAGAGTCACTGGAAACATCACCAGCTACAGGGTGACTGGTCTCCAGCCTTTCACGATCTACGTGTTCAGGCTGAGTGTGTGTACAGCTGTCGGTTGCAGGTTTAGTTCGGACTCAGCACCTCAGCAGACCTTAGAATCTGGTAATATGTCTGAACCATTTCAATCCCAAAAGTGACCAAAGTAAAAATTTCAAGAAAATCTTTCACATTTCATCTTGTATAATGTTTAAAAACAAATAGTACAATGTGAAAGTACTGCTAGATAGGTTTCATATGAATGGTCTCACCGTAGGATTTCATCCACAGACTTCAAAGTTATAACAACCCTACAAGATTCCATAAAATTTACACAGAGTGAACTTGAAAGGAATCTTGAGTCATCCGACAGGTCACAACTTATAAAAACAGTCGAGCATTTGAGCTCATTCAATCTTGAAACAACAGTTTTGGCCTACCTGAAGTTGCGAAAGAGGTCTAATGCTTGAGAATATTTCCAGATTATTTCCAACAGCGAACTTATGATGTTCATGTCTGGATAAGTTATCTATTGATATAAGTCAATGTCGAGTCGACTAAGAGACCCTTCTCTTATAAGTGGGCTGCCCGTTTTTACCCACTTTCTTATATGGGGGGGCGGGGGGCTACCCTTTTTAATGATTGTATATAATGTTATTCCAGTTTCGTATATAGTTTTATCCAAGGTGTTGTGAACTTGCCAATGATATGGAATGCTTCGAAAGAGGATATTTTTCTACCCATGAACATATCCCATCTAGAGCGAGCAGACGACTTCTACTTATTTTCGTGATGTAGAAGTAAGAATAAACAGCCTGCCCGAATAGAAGCAGAAATGGAATCAACCTCGTTACCAGGCCTTGCTCCAGAGAACGTGAAGAAGAGAGACCCTGGGAACGAGGTTGAGACGAAAAGTAGACATAACTCAAGATTTATGACATGCTTGTTCTTGCAGGTCCCCTGGGGTTATCTGCCCCAAGGCTTTCATCCCCCACGGGTAGAACAGTAATAATAGAGTGGGACCCCCCGGCAGTACCTAACGGTGTCATACTGAAATATCAGATTCAGCGGCGACTTATGTCTGGTGGAAATCCCTCGGTTATTTCTGAAGTGAATGCTTCTCTCGCACGGCGACATGTGGATAACACAGTACAACCGCTGACTGCGTATCAGTACCGCCTCATCGCGTTTAACAGCGGCCCGGGGGATCCGAGCCCGTATAGCAACATTACCACTGGTCAGGGAGGTAAGTGCGCATGCGCTTGTCGTCATGCCAAAGTATATTTACTACAAACCTTATCATCTTTTTCCAATTCTTACGTGGCAATGACGTTTGATTTTCACTTTTGTTAGCAGTCAGTGCCACTACCACATCTGTTCTGGATTAGACAAGTACTAGCCTGTGAATAGAATATAGCCGTTTGTCCACGCTCCAAGACGCTAGCGGCCAGAAGCGAGGAGAAACGGCTGTATTTGTAGGCTAGACAAGTATCTCTATCATGTTTAAGTTAAATCTGTGCTTTCATTCAGGAAGGGAGAGTGTGAACAACTACATTTTGGCTGCTTGGCCCACCAGTGAAGGAGTTTATCACGTTTTTATTACTGGAAACCCAAAATTTCAAGATTCTTCTTCTACTTAAAGTATTTTTTAATATTCCAAACCCTTGAAATAATGGAAACCTGAACTACTCGTTACTTGTAGCATGGTGGTAAGGGGGATAGAGTAACAGGGAAAAACTTTAAAGTTCGAATTTTTGGCGGAAACCGCATGCTGTGGCATAAGATTAGAATGGCGGTTAAATTTTAAGAATGTGCCGTCGACATTTATAAAGGAAACTCGCCTGGGCTTGACGTGATTTGTTCTCTCCTTTTACAGACCCCGAGGGAATCGCAGCGCCTTCTGTCCAAGCGCTCAGTCCATACGCTATAAATGTCAAATGGACCGCACCCAGCGTACCAAACGGCAACGTAACACGTTACATCATCAGAGTCATACATCAGCAAACCTCTCGCAACGTCACTATTAATGCTGACGCGCCATTCGATGTTAATGTTACGTCACTGGATCCGTACATTCTGTACAACGTCATTGTCAGTGCATGTACAATTGGGGGATGCGGTAGCAGCTCACCGTCTCAAGTCCGTACACTTTCCGCTGCACCTGAAAATCAGCCTGCGCCCATCGCGCAGCCGCTGTCGCAAACGGAAATGCGCGTGAGCTGGGATCCACCTATTAGGCCGAACGGTTTGGTAGAGGGGTATGTGCTGTTCAGGAGAACAGTCGAGGACCTGGTTACCAATAACATTTCTTCACCCACTGAGTATACACAGGTTTTTAAAGGCGGGGCCCTACCGGGAGATCGGGTCGTCAATGATGTTCTATTAGGAATCTACTCATTACAGCAATACAAGGTTAGTTATTACAGAAAGAATTAGGCAAGTTTTCTTAACTGACGTGATACAACTCACTTTGACTCTGAAGTTGACTACCGCACAGGTTGTCGAAACGTCAGTCACTGTCAACAACAACAGTCCTATTCAGGACTTCGTTCAACCGGACGATCATACTCACCCTACTTTTGAAATGACTCCTGGGTTCTATCCTTTCACAATTTCGTTACTACCGTGTGGCACGAAATTTTTGCGGATTGACGATTTTTTGTGTTTTGCGGGAACTAATTTTTGCGATTCTCAGAAAGTACCCAGGATTGACAATATTTTCATTTTTATCGAGTACTTGCAATAGAAATACATATTTTTTGTGTTTTGCGGGAACTAATTTTTGCGATTCTCAGAAAGTACCCAGGATTGACAATATTTTCATTTTTATCGAGTACTTGCAATAGAAATACATATTTTCAAACAATAAACCAGTATTTCGTTGTATACCGTTTTGTTTCTGAATGAAGGAGACAAGTTGTTATTGAACAGACACGATTTCTTAGTACTGTATTTTTGTGTAGCGAATTTAAGTTAGAGAATATTTAATCTAAAGTTAATTTTTGCGGGAATACTTTTGCCGTAATTTTTATTTGCGGGAACTTATTTTGCGGATCGCTGGGAAAATCGCAAAAATTAGAACTCGCGCAAATTTCGTGCCACACGGTAGTTTGCAAAGGATTATTTGAAGTCTTTACAAAAATGTAAAGTTTTTTTTTCACCATTCCTTTTACGTTTAACGGTAGTATGCTTTCCATGCCTCAAATTCTGTGGAAGGTTACTGCAAAAAAGTTTATATTACTGTAGGCGAGCAAGTTCCTGTTGTCTTATACACCTTTTTGCCTTATGGCTCAACTTTAAAGTATTATTCAATTTTTTATCACTTCGCACATGGTTAATTTAGAGACAACTGGTTGGAAACAACATCAGCAGGACGAAATTCAGAACCCCCGTTGACCTGTGGATTGCTTACATATGGTTTAACTACATCTACATTTTAAAATTTCTTAATATTTTTAGGTTACAGTGACAACCGCACAAGGCAACACCACCAGCAACCCCTCCCTACCCTACAGAACAAACCCTGCCCCTCCCTTAGCAGGTCCTACCGTCAATGGTACTGCCCTGAATCACACGACTTTGTTGATCACGTGGTATCCACCGGAAATCAAGCAGCTGCGTGGCGCTGTAGTGACATATATAGTAGATATTGCCGAGTCTTCACTTCCGGGAGCACCTGTTAGTCGCGTGGGTCAGTTCCCTGGAAACCGAACTAGCGTGACAGTAACAACTCTCAAGGCCAACACTTACTACACTTTTTATGTAAGAGTCTTTTTCGTCTTTATCATGGTATTGGGCTATATTGATAGACTGAAGCCTGCATGTTTTAGAAATAACCCATGCATTTGAAAGTTACTAGAATTAGATATTACGTACAACTAAGAAATATTCAGAAATAATCGAAACCCCCAGCGGATAATCGAATCCACGACCATCCAGATACAGATAGGATGCTCTAACCACTGAGCTATGGGCTACTCACACGGCGAGCAGGTCGTGGGTTTTGAGGCTAGACTAAAGCAAAGCAACTCGCCTATTTGCTTACTTACTTTCATCGCGCAAGCACCTTAAGAAAGTGTTGTGTATACTTTGTGTACATTTTGAAAGTTACCCCACTAAAAAATGAAATATAGGTGACGTACAAATCCTCTACCCTGTTTTCACCAGGTTGAGTTGAACAACGGAGCGGGCAGCTTCAAGAGTGATGCATTCCGGATAAGAACCTTGGATGGAAGTAAGCGTTAATTTTAGTGGTCCTGTTTCACGAGCTTAAATTTCAGGATGTTCTCCGCACGTACTGACTGTGGTGTTTGTGTTATTCTTCTTAGTGCCCGAAGGATTTGGCCCTCCAACACTGTACACTATTAACAGTACTACTATCCGTGTGAGTTGGAGTCCACCCACAAATCCAAATGGAAATGTTATCCTCTACAAGGTTTATGTGTAAGTACACACTTACGTTCAGTTCTCTGGACACCTCTACAACATACTAACGTCTGCCACCTCTTTGTAGCGACCACTTTTTTGTCTCAGCAGGCAGTCGATACATTCCCTTGGTTTAACCAGTCTTGCCAAGGCCACTCTCCTCTGTCCCTGAGATGGCCGTTCTGGCCAGCTTTGCTTATGTTAACAAAACAAACTGACCTCGCCCACTATTAGCTGTCGTATGGCTGGTATAGGACTTGTAAAGACTGTTTTCCCAAATATATGATTCATCATACACGTGTTAACTATGTGATGCTTACCTTATATTGAGAAACTGTCCGTATTTTTGCGTAGATCAAGAACGCGGGAGCGGGCAAACGAAAGTCCTGGATCTAGGGTTGGAACTGAATGAAACTTGAAAACCGGCAATAATCTCACGCCGGTGCTGATTTTCAGAAGGAAAAAAATGACTGTTTTACAGTCTGTGCTATAAACCTTAGACCCGAAAATGTTATTCGTTCAAAAGTTTCAGTTTGTCTAACCGAGTAATAATCCTTTAGTTATAATAAACGAATGCTGTGTGTATGACACGTTGTGTCCTGTTAAAAATTCTGCTTGAAAGTGCCCATAACGTCAGTACAAAACATACTATTGTGTCTTGCAGAAACGACACCTTATGGACAAACACAAGCGGGGATGCACGTCAAGTCCTTGTGTCCGGGCTGCAGCCATATACTTATTACGTCATTAAGGTGCGTATTACAACACAGTGGCAGATCTAGGAGAAAGGTCGCAGTCCTGCAGGGCCAAGAAGAACTTTTTTGGTTAAGAGTGCCCCCACCTTAACCTAAAAGTCTGGTGCCTTCACCTGATGACGCCAGTAAATCGTTCGCATTGATTCCCTTATACGTTTCGGCTCCACCTCGTTCATTTTTATCTTTCTTTTTACGTTTTCCTGTCGGCTGTTTTTTTCTAAATTCTTTTGCCTTTCTAACTTGATCACCCATTTTTTCTGTTTGTCGTTCAGGCTTCAGCCTATACTTATGCAAGTGGCATTCTAATAATTAATAATTCCTTCCTCTGTATTTGTAACAGGTTGCAGTTTGCACCACACATGGCTGTACAATGAGCGACGCCAGAGCAGCAACTACGAATTCTGCAGGTGAATTTTTATTTCCTCTGTTTGTTTTTATTCTAATCTCGCGAATTATCTTTTGGTCGAACTAGAAAGTTAAAGTTTTATTTGAGGGTCGGAGGTTTAGTACTGTGGGGTTGGGGAGCTCGTACTTAACCAACTAATTAGACACTACCCATGTGGTTGTCTGCACGGCGTTGTCATGGACTAGGACACAATATTACCACGTATCATAATCAGTGGTGAAGTAAATTCACATAAGTGATTCAAGATAGTCATCGTACGTTTAGACCATGTAAGTACCTTTAGTTCGTTAGGATCCAGACTTCTATTATTTCACGTGCGTGAAGCACCTGATTGTGGTAGCCTGGCCACAAGTTGTCGCATCGGTCATTGTGATCCATGACCAAGGAATACTCAGGTATAATAGTGACAGGGATGACGAGATATGATACGAATCCCTTTGGGGGCTCAGACATCCGAAGACGTTTGTGGGTTAGACATTTTGCAGTTACTTTCCTTGGGTAAAAGACTTCGGGGCCGACTTTCTTTCCGGGGGAGGCGGGTGGGGGTTGTTGACGGCAATACATAGCCCTGGGTTTTCATTATTACGTCACACAATTGTGCCAGTTGTAAAAGGACTTTTCTTTGGGTCAAGTTCGGGCCTTTGGTGTTTTTTGAGGGGTTGAACAATTTAGCCTCATTATCTCCCACCCCTTCGGGGTCCTCTTCCGTAGTAGATTCAACTTTTCAGTAGTCCACAACTTTGTGAGAATCGAATACTAAAAATATTTTCTCATAATCCTTCAGCCCCGACAGGTTTCGCTGCTCCGCGACTTAAAGCAGGTTCGACGTTCATTGAAGTCCGATGGGGTAAGAGAACACTTTCTGTAGCTTGTGGCACACAAGTTGTACGCTGCATGCCGCCTATTAACTTAACGCTTATATTTCTTTCAAGTTAAAGTACCCATTTTTTTCCTATTCCCCTCCTACTCAGAATCACAAGACAGGATATTTGGAGTGAACCATGTGTATTCGATTATTCTGATAACCGAGCAATGCTTTCTCCTCGAAACTTTGCTGTGCCGCCCCTATCTAACTCCTATGTTGCTTTGCTTATGTCATTGGATGACTAAAGTTGTTTTTCTCCTTCAGAGCCCCCATCTCGTCCAAACGGAATCATGTCAGGCTACCAGATCTTCCGAAGAATGGTATACCAGTGCCCAACAAGGTACTTGTACATACAGCTTTATCATTAAACTTGTGTGAGAGAATTTTAAACCCACACTACTTCTTGGTATTGTATTCTATAGTCTTAACATCACTTCAAGATTAATGTCGTTCTAAACGAACTGTGTTGTATTTGTTTCAGCCCTCCTCCACAAGCTAAATGCACATTCATAGAATGCCGTCTGTCAGAACAGTTATGCGGTGTCACGTGTTATAATCCAGGCAATCAGGTGAGCTATACGTAAGGCTGCTAATAATTCCACAACACTTATAAAACAAATATTGCTTCTAATCTTTTATAAACTCGAAAGCAAACAAATAGAAAAGCTTAAAATCGTAAAAAAACAGCGGAGTGAAGCATCTTAATGACCGTAAACTGGAAGGAAAGTAAGACATTTTTAGCTTTAATCTGCCACCATTTTGAATTCACATGAGTTAAAAAACATTTGGAAGAGTCGCAAATTTGAGTCTCAACCAATTTTGATTTCCGTATCCACGTCCAAAAAATACACCAGCGCCTCAGATATACTTAAGTGATCTTTGATTCACACTCACTCACACACTCTGTGCCGTCATTGCTGGTCCACTGTAATACCTTTTTTCGGTTTTCCACTCTAGATTTGCTGTAATGGCGTTCTCTATTCACGTGACCCAGCCAAGACCTGTTGCGGCACAAACTACTTGCGGAAGAATACTCCCTCCGACGTCTGCTGTGGAAACACTTTCCATATCCAGCGGTCTGAGTATCAATGTTGCCATGGCGATTACATCCGAGTTCCTTCAGGCAGTGTATGTTGCCTTACGTCTCAGGGGGGTAGAGTGGTGGGTTCGGGTAATGCCTGCTGTGGGGATACCCCTTATAACAGTGGAGGAAGCAAAGTGTGTGTCTGCGGTGCACTGTATGATCCCATACCTCCAAGGAAATGTTGCGGTGGGAGCGTTGTAGCTTCTGCGCAGGTCTGCTGTGGTGATGAGGTTCGTGGGGCCGCGTATGACCTGGAATCTAGTAATGAGTGTTGTGGAACTCAGTACGTTCCTAAAGCTACGAGCCTGTGTTGCAAGGGATCAACGGGTGATGTTGTGGTATGTGCGAGATGATCTTTTGATATTTTACCACTGTTATATAACAAAAATCTTATTTGGAAAATTCTAGAGTGTGTTGAATTAATTAATTGCTTACAGTTAACTACATGAAGTCAGACCGGCCGCTTTAAGAATTTGAGGACAAGTGCAATGCGAACAGGAGCCTGGTTCGAAAATTGCAATTGTCTAGTGTAGTTAATTGTTGGCAAAAGTAACCCTGAAAGGGACTGTGCTGTCATGGCTGTCTAGTTCATTTTGTTAATAATGCCAATTATGCATCCTTATTCGCTTTGAAACTTGAGAAATTACTTGTTAATGGCAAAGTTACAGTCTCCCAAACACTTTGTCATACGTTAGGCTAACAGGTTTTCAAAAACCACATTTGTAATCCGTTTCAATCTTCTTGGAGCTTTTCCGTCCTTTTTTCCTTTTGTATTTGCTGTTCATGTTATGAACAGTTAGACTGCGTGCAAACGGGTGCAATTATGTTGAGAGATGTTGCGTGCGTATTGGCAGTGGTCTGCAAACGGATGCAACAACTCCCAACAAGTTTGTGACCTGCAGTGCATCGTGGGAAGAATACAACCCATAAGTCTTTGTAATCCATGCGTAATTAGCGTGCGTGGTCCCAACAATGTTGGAAGAGCTGTGCAAACGGATCCAACATTGTTGCGCTACGCTTCGGTGATCACGGAACAAAAGAAATGTTGGGAGTTGTTGGCTGGAAAGTTTGACCGGTTTCAAACTTTGTGCAACAACACGCAACAACACGCAACAACTTCCAGCAACATGCAACAGGGTGTGCAAACGGACGCAACATGTAACATCCAACAATTTTGGGAGTTGTTGGCTAACAATGTTGCGTCCGTTTGCACGGGGCTTTATTATTGTTTCACTCAGTTTGCTGGCTTGGTGGCTGCTACCACTGATTGAACTTTGATAAATTTCATGACACCGATCCCTTAATTTTACAGGTGTACAACTATACGAGTGCAGCCGATAAGTCTGCATCCAGTCACAAGTGCTGCGGTAAAAGACAAGTCGATAGTAGTTTGAGTTGCTGCAGTGAACAAGGCTATAATTCTAGTTACCAGACATGCGCTTCCAAATCAAGCAACGGGACCGTGGGCTGTGGAATGGGCACCATTTGCAACAAGACCGACGCAAATGTGGCGATGTGTGATCGATGCGATTTTGACAACACGACATTACTCTGTGGTTATGTACCGGGTTATTACGACCTTTCACCGACGACTTCTGTGCCTCGCGTTTGTGCGACAGGTTTTGTGGAGATCCTCAACAATCAGTACAACCCAAACCTCCGATTCTACAACGACACTAACTTGTCTCCGCACACGCTTTATGATTATTACCTAGTAGCTATAAATAATATAGGCAACGCGTCAAGCCCAGTTGCACAGAATCGTACGTTGATGGGCCGCCCTGCAGGTCTCTCGCCGCCAGTTGCCGTTGCAATATCTTCATCCGAAGTCCGAGTCACATGGAGCAAACCAACGACACCGAACGGTGTTATTGGGGAGTACAGACTCACACGAATTAACGGCCAAACCGGTCAGCGTCGTTTGGTATTTAGCGGTCTCAATATGACATTTATAGACCGCGCACTGGAGCCTTTTACTGGATACCGATACGTTATTGAGGCTTGTACTACGCAATGTGCAACAGCGGAAATGACATCACTTATCTACACTGACCAGGCCGCCCCCGCTTATGTCAATGCAACTATTTTACTTCCGGTGAACTACAGTGCTATAAACGTGACATGGATGACACCTCCTAAGCCAAATGGAGACATCATTCGTTACAACGTGAGTCGTGTGGTCAACAGCACTTTCAAGATTCGTTTGAATCCTAATGACAAAGGCCTGGGTATGAGTCTTTTGATTGGTGGATTACAGCCGTACACAAACTACACTTTCGAAGTTATCGCTTGTACAAAAGTAGGTTGCACAGCAAGTCCGCTGGCATCCACACGAACACTGCAAGCACCACCTGAAGGTGTTCGTGCGCCGAACCTGACCGTCACCGGCGCGCGAGAAATCGAGGCCACTTGGACAGAACCAGATATTCTTAATGGCGTGATAGTAAAATACTCGCTCTTTAGAGGAAACTTGCTTGTCTATAATGGCACGGATGTTTGTTATAAAAATAACGAAGGCAAGGATGTCTGCATCTTTGAAGATAAAGGAAATGGTTTACAACCTGTAACTACATACAGCTATTCAGTTGCTGCCACTACTGGCGGGGGTACTACTCGTAGCGGTGTCACTACTGCCACCACCCCCGAGAGTTCGCCCGAGGCTATTCCCAAACCACGCCTTGCTGTTCAAAGTGCTTACAGTATACTCGCAGAATGGGATGAACCAGGTCAACCGAATGGGAACATTACAGGCTATGCAGTGGTTGTGAATGGAACTGAATATGATGTTGGGCTGAATAAAAGTAAGTTAATCACGGGACTGAATCCATTCACCGTCTATTCTGTCCGCGTCAAGGCTTGTACAGCAAAAGGCTGTGGATTAGGAGATCGTGAATACGCTACTACCAGCGAAGCTGCACCCATCGGTCAAGGGGCTCCCACGCTAGTGGCGCAGGAATGGAACATTGTGCAGATTTCGTGGTCTCCTCCCAGCTCCCCGAATGGAATCATCACTCGTTACGAGATATATCGCAGGGTTGGAAGCGGCGCTCCTCTTGTCGTCTGTGTTACAACGCAGTTAACGTGTCTGAACAGCGGTTTGTTGGGTTACACTGAGTATTCCTACAGAGTACGAGTTCGAAATAGTGCGGGCTCTGTAGACGGACCGTGGAGGAACGTACGTACCCTAGAAGGACCCCCACAAGGTATCAGCCCACCCTCTCTGAATGTGCTCAACTCTACTGCTATTTACGTTTCTTGGACAGCACCCTCTCAGCCCAACGGTATTGTCACGCATTATGAAGTGCGTTACCGAGAAGAGTTACAAGTCCCTGGTAACGCCAACATCACTGTAGCGGCACGTGTTGCTAGTAACGTCCGGAACATCACGGTGAATGGTTTAAAGCCGTATACGGACTATCAGTTCTTGATTGCCGCAATAAACAGTCGTCGAGAAGGGACCAGTGCTTGGGCGATAGCTAAGACCAGACAAGCCCCACCAGCCGACCTTAGACCTGTCCAAGCCGATAAAGCAGCGGATGGTAAAAGTATGCGCTTGTTCTGGGATGAACCAGGAAGTCCAAACGGTCTCATCACGCACTATAACCTCTACCAAGACGGAGTTCAAATATACCGAGGTGCACGACGCGAGTATACAGTCTCGAGACTTATTCCTTACACCTCGTACGAGTTTCAGTTGGAGGCATGCACGGTAGCGGGCTGCACGCGAGGCCCCTCGCAAGTCATTTTCTCCGCCGAGATAAACCCTCAAGGACAAGCTCCGCCACTTATTGGATTTAAAAACGCAACAGCCATTCAGCTCACCTGGAAACCACCAGTCGTTCCAAATGGTGTGATTATCCGCTATGAGATCTATAGAACGGTGACAGAAGTGCAGAGCCGGCGAAAACGCGCCGTCGTGCTGTCTTCGTTGGTCTATTCCACCAATGATACAAACCAGACGGATTACCAGTACATGGACACGGGATTAATGCCTTACAGAAGCTACAGTTATTTTGTGAGAGTAGTCAACAAGGGTGGGTCCACTGACAGTGACCAGGTTACCGTGACAACAGACCAAGCTCCTCCCGCATCTATGGACGCCCCACGTGTAACATCCGTGGACGCTCATTCTTTGAACGTGTCATGGACAAAGCCGCTTGAGCCGAACGGCGTGATACAGTATTATATTGTGTTTAGGAACGGTTCTGTCAAACACAAGAAAAACGAGTTGAGCTTTTTAGATCAAGGTTTGGATCCTTACACCGTCTATAGCTACACAGTTGAGGCATGCTCCGGGGGAGGCTGTACAGAAAGCTCTCCGTCAAGCCGTCGTACATCTCAGGCTCTGCCCTCAGGAGTACACCCCCCTGTTCTACAAGCGCTGAGTGCGGTAGCTATCAGAATATCTTGGAGAATGCCGGAGAAGCCCAATGGTGTTATCACCAAGTATCAACTCTTCCAGGCTGGAGAGGATTTCCGGCTCCATGAAGGCCTTGCAATGTCATTTGACATCAGCAACAAGGAGCCGTACACTAAGTACTCATTTTACATCAAAGCTTGTACTGTCGCGGGGTGCACACAGGGTCCTGCAGCTGAGGTCCGCACATTAGAAGCCAAACCAGAAGGACTTGATGCTCCAACTGTCACTGTTGGCGGCTCGGCGTTTGTGCGTGTTGAATGGAACGCTCCACGAGAGCCAAACGGCTTAATCTTGTATTATCTTATAACGCGAAATGGTTCTCAAGTATATAACGGCACTGATTTGCGATTCCTTGATTATACCATTGCTCCATTCACAGTGTATGCGTACGTTGTGACGGCAGTCAACTCTGCCGCCCGCTTGTCGAGCCCGGCTGGATATAGTCCGCCTACAAATCCTGGTGCACCAGATAATGTCAGCACAGCAACGCTTGAAGTTCTTAGCCCGACGTCTATGAAAGCCACCTGGTCTGTGCCGGGAAAACCAAACGGCGTTATAACGAAATACGAAGTGCTGTATAGTTTTAAAGGAGCTCAAGGGAACGCTCAAATTAGAAACGCTGGTCTTGCAAAGGAGCTCACCTTGACTGGTTTACAGCCTTACACAGAGTATGAAGTAAGAATTCGCGCTTGTACAAAGGAAGGATGCAGCACTGGCGAGGCAGCGTCCGCACGGACGCACGAAGCGCCCCAGAAGGTCAGAGTCCTCCGGACTTCCCAAGCTTGCATATCACTGCCAGGAGAGTGTTAGTGAATTGGAATGAGCCACAAAAGCCTAATGGGTTCATGTTACTCTATCGAATACACCGACGCGGTTATTCTTTGTCTGGCAATCAGCAGCAGGTTTATGGAGCGGTTGTTTCTGTAGCGAACTTGACAAACGGCTCCGTGTTGGAATTCAACGACACAACTGTGAAGCCATATTTCAGATATCAGTACCGTATTATTTCTGCTAACAGCGCTGGTGAGACGGAGAGCGATTGGTCAGTAGTGCAAACATTAAGCGCATCGCCTGAACAACTCAAAGCCCCGCAGGTCAACAGAACGCATTCGTTTAGTTTGGAAGTGTTAATCGTAGAACCTGGGACTCCGAATGGTGAAATAAGAAACTACATTTTAGAAGTTTCTGGTGAAAATAAATCTGAAGGTTTGACTACTCTACGGGAAGTCTCCGGGCTCGAGCCCTTTACTGTGTATGTGCTACGTGTTTACGTGTGTACTGATGGTGGGTGCGCTATGGGACCCAGTGTTAACTGGAGGACTGCGGAGGGAGCCCCTGCACAGTTCTCTGCTCCACGCCCAGTGGAGATAAATGCTACTACAGTTGTGCTGGAATGGGACGAGCCGGGAAAACCCAATGGAAACATTCAACGGTGAGTCATTGTTTTTCTTGTTATCATTGTTGTTGTCGTTTTTCTTGGTAGTAGAGGAAACAGGCTGGCGCGGTGGTGAGATCACTTGCTTGCCTGACCTTTATGAACCGGCGCTTTTAACGCGAAGGTCACGGTGCATGTGGCTTCTGCCTCTTATTTTTCCTGTTCCTTGCTCTGAGAGGCTTTCCTCCGAGTACTCGTGTTTTTACCTCTCGTCGTGAACCGCCTTTTAATTTGATCTGGAACATACGACCACTTGTTAAACAGTTCTTATGAAAAACTTGTTATCAGTTTGTGATACTTATATTTGTTAAAAAATGAATGTTTTTTTATTGTTTTGTTGTTGTTGTTTGTTTTTGGATTTTTATTATTTCTAAGGTCTTCCGAGGCGGATAAGCAGGGGGACAAGGGTTGTGGCTTGATGAAAGGGCCTCTCAGAGAGTGTGGGGTCGCAACAGTGATGTAACGCTTTCCTGGGTGGGAAAGGAGGTTTTGCCCTGCATAGGCTCTATGTATTTGCCCACTTTGATAGAGTTTTCAATCCATTTAGTCTGGTTTATGGTTTATGAATCAGACAATTGTGGTCTAGAAAATGTTAACACTTATGGAAATTGGTCAGGATTGTAGTTTCTGGGTCAAAGTTACTCCTGGTAAAGTAAGGGATTTTAAGGGTTTAAGGGACAAACTGAAACACTACATTCCATGTGTAACCAACTGTCGTGAGCAACCACCTCCGACGACTGACAATCGAAAACACCAAAATTTTCCCAGTAAAAGCCTTACAGTTGGAGCCTCCAGTAAACGACCACCTCCTGAAAGCGACCGCAACCACTTTTTGGACCTGACGGTTAATGATTTTCTATTTTTTTAACCTCTTGTAAGCGATCACTTGACGCTTTTTCTGATCCCTATGTTAGCTGTGTGCACTATGCTACTTAGAACATACGACGAACTTTAGTGGTATGGCAACATGGAACTGCACATGTCGTAACCTAGACATAGCATGGAATAAAGTAATGTAAAGTAGATGTGCTTGAACCTCGGCTCGGAAAAGGCGCCCTGTGGTTCGATTCTTTTTAACGACCACCTCTCGTAAGCGACCACTCAGTCTTTGCATTTTTAGTGGTCGCTTACGGGAGGTTCGACTGTATTAGACTACGAGCAGTCTCTTTTCTTTGGAGTCACAATTGCTCCAGGGCACGCGTGAGGGGGCGACGAAGAGCGAGGCCGAAGCGCAACAGTATACTTATTTCATTGTCTTTTTACAGGTACGAGGTCCTGTATCATGAGTCCTGTGCTGTTGGCTGTCCTACAGGCTTACCTGAGAGTGGCACAAATGTAGGTCTGTTACGGCGGCATGTAGTGCGAGACTTGTCTCCTTACACTATGTATAACTTCAGGATACGTGTCTATAACACGCTGTACTCAAGTCTGTCAGATGAGCAGACCGTCAGGACCCAAGCATCAGGTATGGTGATAGCTCAGCTACTTATATGAGTGTCGCCAAGCTAAATCGAAGCAATTGCCTCAATCATGGACAAAAGTCTTTTGGTAAATTTGCATTTGTGCGGCTTTGCTCTAGTCACCCATGCCCAAGCCCTCCCTCCACTCCACAAACAAAGTTGTTTTCCCGAGTGTCAACATGGTGTAGGGTGGGGGAGGGAGAACTGCATGATCTTTTTCGAAAAGGTTGAACTGTTTAATGAGGACACCCACAAATTTAAAAAATATATATGAATACTGTATCACTGTCCCAAGGGAGTTTTTCCAGGGTTATAGTTCTCAACATGCACCTAACATCAAATGAGCCAATCAGAATTCGAAACAAACTTATGTAGCCGGTCCAAGTGTGGGAACGCGAGTGAGCTAGTCAGGATAATGATTGGTTGAAAAGGTGGTGAGTGATTTTGTCCAACCACGAGGAGCTACATGTACCGTAAACTGCCGCTTTTATTTGTTTTGCGGGAAAACATTTAAGAGCTTACCATTGTTTGCAAGCTTGGGCTAAAGGTTCGCGCATGCTCATTTCGTAATTCTGCCCTGAACCCAGTTATAAGCCCATCTACCAGTAAACAGGTTTGTAAGCCCTCCTCAAACCCGTTACAAAAAGATGAAAAAGTTCAGGGCTCATAAGGGGCCGTTTACGGTGTATGTTTTGAATTCTGATTGGCTCATTTGATTTTACGCTCTACACGATTCTCTCCAGCTCCCATAGTCACGAATGTAAGACCACGAGTGAATGTGAGCGGGTTCCAGGTAGCCGTGGACTGGAGCGAGTCCTTCATCCTCAACGGTCCATTGGATACTTATGAGTTGTTGGAAAACGGGCTACTAACTTATGAGGGGCCGCAGAACAAGAGAAACCTGGGAACTAGAAATGTTGGAGAATACACTTACATAGCTAAAGCCACCACTTTAGTCCAGGGGAGAAAGATCACCGTGACATCGCCTCCTAGTGGTACAGTGCAAATACAAGGTAAGTATCCAGTGAGGCGTGACACTTGAGCCTTCTGTCTTAGGATAGATGCACGCTATCGACGGTGTTAGGAGTCGTCCCTAATTAAAATCAAGTCGTGAAGTCTGAAGTGGACATCAAAAGAATCGAGTCTAGCCCGTGTTACCGACGACACTAAACCTTTTGTTAAGTCTGTCAGCGAGTCAGCCGAAATCCTTGTTCTGCGTACCCACTAGTGTACAGAATTTGAGTACGCGCCATAGTTCTAGTCTCCCTCGCAGCCGTTTTTTGGATGTCACACGAGCGTTGCGTGACATCCAAAAAACGGCTGTGAGGGAGGCTATGATTAGTCAGGTTGAAGAAAAATTCGAAACGCACTTCTGGTAATGCATGGAGTCCATTGAGGGCCCCGAACAAGGATATCAGGGCTGCTTTGCAGGCTTAACCAGCCCGGGTGAGATTACAGCAAAATTTGTGGATCTTAACAATCCTTTTTGACAGAGACGGCCATTTGTATTGTCGAACAACCGAAGCAAAGTATGGGCTACCGTTTTGTTTTTTAGCACCATAAAGCACCAGAAAGTCATACATGTCAATTTTTTTTTTTTTTTTTTTTTTTTTTTTTTTTTCTGCCATATCTACAGGACCATGGTTCGCTACCGTGACAACGTGACGTAACGACTTCTCCTCTCCATACTATTAATAGATTTATAATTCCTACAAAATCCTTTTTCGTGTAAAATTGCTTTTTGCATTCGTATCTTTGACAAACGTGGCATTCTTGGGGGAAAAAGAGTTATTCGGCTGTCCCCAAAGTTCCGATGAAAAGGATTTATAGATCCTTTTCCTGTGTTGCTTTTTTCGAGTAAGCGGACCCATAGGTCAAACAGTAATGTGAGTTTCTGCCTGACCGTTTTCAGGTGAAGTCGAACCTGGAACTACAGCGCCACGCACTGATTCAGAAGAGTGGTATAGTAGCGCGTGGTTCATAGCTGTCATGGCGCTGGTAGCCATCTTGATCCTGTTTATCCTGTTAGCGCTTTGCCTGTGGCGAACAAGCGGAAATAGAACGGTTTACGTGCGTGATCGAGAGCCTTTGCCTCCACGCACTAAACTCAGGTCCAGGCCCCCGTCAATGTCCAGTCTTTACACGTCCAGTGACAGGAAGAACGGAAGCATGATTGTAAGTTCTTTTTTGTTTTGTTTATCGCGGTAGCGCTGCCTCAAAAGTACAATCAGCCGCCGGTGATCTCATTACCCGCGAAGACGACCATTGAAAAAGACAGGATATGCGTACTTGCTCACGAGTCACGTGACAAGTCACATGCATGCATCAAAATTGGGATGGGAGTGTTTCTGATCAAATATTTAACGAAGGTGCAGTGTTCAATAATCAGATAAGAAACTAGTAATTAGATCTGTCCATTTGGACACTCATCGCTTTTTTTGGCAAGGAAAACAAGCAGGATGCATCCAGGAGTACAATTTATTGAACGTGAAAACACCCATTGAACAATGGCTTTTTTGTATTTTCTTCATCATCAATCAGGACATGCAGCCGATGCCAATGCCGTACTATAGCAGTACCACCGCCTTGTATGACAGCACAGAGCGTCTCAACAGACTGAATGAACAGTATGGCTCTTACCGGTCTGGCAGTGGACACAAGGTCCCTCTGGATGTAAGTCAGGACTGGGATGGATACTTCAAGACCTACAGCAGGGACAGGGATTCTGGACTGGTGAGAAACTCTTTCCCGGCCTTCTACTCCAGTGATGTCCTTTTTTCCAAAAAAAAAATACTGCACAAATCCGTCTGTAAATCGTTGTAAAGCCAATTAAACCTGTAATCTAGTAAAATGCACAGAAAATAAGGTTTCAAACTGATAATGGACGGAGGGGGAAGTGATCTCCTAGACAATTCGTCTTTGAGCAGCATTTTTGATGATAAACCTACTGCAGACATCCACCCTAGCCCAGGGTGCATTCATCTTGCCACTGGCGATATGGTAAAAAATTTATTCCAATTTCAAGGTTGTGTTTGAAGTCCAGACCCTCAATATTATCATTTGTCCATTAAATATTGCTTGCTGCGACTTATTTCCCTTCCCTTGTAGCCCAGCTGATTTTGAAACGCACATTTCCCTTCTATCAAGCGCGCTTTTTATTTTCCTCAGGGAAGGCGTTTGAAAATGTAACCCCCGGGCTTCTTTGGGAAGTTTACAACATTTCATAATCCACAATGTGTTTGAAGACGTTTCCGTATATTTCTGACACTAATTTAATTCTTTTGTTCGTAGTACGACGATGAAAAACTCGACTACTCAGACAGCGAGCCTGGTACACCTTACCAGACATTCAAGCGGGAGCAGTACTTCACAGATACACATTTATAATATTAATCTTCTAGTAACTGTTGTAATAAGTAAATTGTATATTTTGTTATATAAGTATTCTTCTAACCAATGTACCTTTCGGTATAAAATTTTATCTCTCGCAGATATGAGAAAGTGTGATGCGTGAAAATATATAGAACCATTTTCCAAATACTTTTGATGTATGATAATTTTGTTTGGCTTTTTTAAAATTGACTGGCAGCGGCTTTAATTTTGCGAAGTGTTAAGTCCTGGCCACACGTGACAATATTACACACATATCGTGCGTGAACATTAGAATCACGGTTGAGCGAGTAATTGACCTGTTTGAACAGAATGTTAAGATAATTGCTTTGTACTATTTGTAGATAGCCCTAGGAGAATATATAATTTGCGATATCCTGCAAGCAAGGCTTGTTCTTGAAGGCAATCATATGTGAACAAATGCAAGAGTTATCTTATTTTTATTTTCATTTTATTTTTGATTAAAACCGGCTTAATTTTGAATGAACAAACGCAAGCATGTAAATCGTTTTTTTTTAAAAAATCCCAGCTATTCATATTAAAATATAGTTGTACTACAACAATACACCTTTCTTCCTTTTGTCGAAACCTTAACACCCTGATTACAAATTTAATCACCTATTTTGGCCAAGTTAATGACGGTTTTTCATTACAAGGGAGTTTATCCAGCGAAACCGCATATAAATAAACCATTTTCAATTTTGGTAGCCTACGTACAGACGCCCTCTCCTCTTAGGAGAGCTCTACAGAGGCAATGCTTATATTAACCCTTGAAGCCCCAATATCCACTTCCAAATTCTCCAAACTGATCACCATACATTTCCTTAAAGAATGCTTTGAGGGAATTTGATAAAAAATCAAAGCGTTTTCTCTCTGGTGATCATTTTATTAATTCTTATAACCTAATCTCTTGACATTGTATGCATATCGTTAGGAGGAAATTGAAGTTGGTCACCATTGGGACTTAAAAAAGGGTTAAAACATGTTTCATTATGTCCGCGTGTTAGGCCTGCGCTGGGTCTGGGTTAGAGCAATTGGACTACCATTGCGCAAAACAAAGTTGCCTACGCCTGTCATGCATCAAAGTGTGTTCTTCCAGAGGTCTTCCTGTTTTTGGACCAGCAGAGCGGTTACTGATTAAATGGGGCTCTGGATCAAAGAATTGCTCACACGTTAATCCGCAAACTGAAACCCCAAATTTCGAAAAAATTTGCTCACAGGTACAGAGGAAAGCAACTGCTTGGTAGCTTTCAGCAAGAGAGAATGATCATTCTCTCTTCCTTTCAGTTGAATTCAAGAGATAGGAGAGATTTTTGAAAAACATAGCCAAAGAAATCCAGTTAATGTAGTTGACAGTTTCGAAGCCTGCCAGTCATCTTTTACAAAAATGGGGGGAGTTCTGGGGGAGAGGGTGGTAATTTATCTCCACCCTTAACCAAGGGGAGGGGAACACGACATAGTGACTTTGCATGCGCCTTTAAACGGCTCTTGTCGCCTTTATCGTTTTTACTTTTGAAAAGATGACTGATAGGAATCAAAACTACAAAGTATACTAGTAGATCTCTTTGGCTGTGTTAAATGAACACCCTAAATTCATCTGATTTATTTCTAGTCGGATGAATTTCTTCACGAACTTCTGATTTGAACTGCAATCTCCTGATGTCTGATGGGAATCGAACCACAAACTATATAAGTAAATTTCTTAGGCTGAGTTTAAAAGACTCTTAATTTATTTGATCTATTTCTAGTCGGATGAATACCTTCACGAGTTTCATTTGAACTGCCATCTCCTTTCTCAGAAAAATGACAAGAAATGAACAGTTTGACAGGGAAGGATGACTTTGAGTCCTAGCTCTCAGTTGAATTGTCGCACTTCACGGCTTTAATTTGATCTCACACTGTCAGAAATAATCATAAAAGTCAATTATGCATGCCTTGAGTTCTGACACTAATTACTCGTATGAGTGGGTTACACTCAGTCATGGCAACACGACGCAAAAACAATTTCTATTCATTATTTGCACTCTTAACTCTGAAAAAATCATAATCCGAGATTGTGATGTTTTTCTCTTCAGGCACGTTTGTCACATATAGATTCGATTTCTCATCAATTAATGTTGTTCAGTCTCCGGACCACCTTCTAGCATACCGTACCTCTTCTTTTCTAGTATCATCTTCACTGTTTCGCGGACTGGCCTCCTTAATTTTGCCCCGCGTCTTTCATCTCTCTTTTCGTCTCCGACAAGTCCTTTTCGTTTGCGAGGATTAGACGTTAGGAAAGTGGTGTTAGTATGGGATCTTTTCGTCTTTTTTCCGGCTTTGCCCTCTACTGTGCTAACTTCTCTCAAGCGCCACTCACTCCTGTTCAGTTGCCCATTGACGGGAAACTTCCAACTTTGGGAATCAAATCCACTCTCGTTGAACGTAAGGTGGGGTGCGGAAGACAAGGCTGGGCGATTATTTTCTCGAGATGATGGTGATTGGGTATGAGCAGAGTAGTATACTCTCTCTAGGCGAATCATGTCCACAGAATCCTCACAATCAGTGGCTGAAGAATCAAAAGGTTTTCCGCTAGGAGGTTTTACTGTAGCCTGCGGCCAAGAGGCAGCTTGCATTAGATTTACACTCGGGCTTGGTGGATTTCTCTTTTTCTTCGGTGATAGTATTTCAGTCTCCAAACCAACCACGAAAGTGATGAGTCTGGTGACTGTGTCCTCAGGACAGGTGTTGTTATGAGATTGCTTGGTCAATTCTGGGGATTGTTTTACTTTGTTTTTCAGCTGACATCTCTCTTGTTCTTCAGGGGAAATACTCCTTTGCTCTTCTTCCAGTTCAGGAGGATCCTGAAGCTTCGAGTCGGCAGAAATGTAGCAGCTAGGCACTTCCATTTTTAACGAATCGTTGAATTTACCTGAAATGTGTTTCACCGTTGAGGGACTCGGTCTGTCAACCCTGAAGAAACTTGGCGTTCTTCTCATTACGTCACTCGAACAGGGAGGGTTTCTGGGCTCACAGGTGTTATCTGCGCTAGTTTGCTTCCACATTTGATGGTTTAAGAGGGCTTGCGAGTGATTTCCAAGTGAAGCAAGATCTCGGCTTTTATTAGGCTGCTGTTGATGAAACCCGCTATGAAAAGCAGAGTATTGGCTTTGGTTTATCCCGCAAGATTCTGAAGGCAAACGAGTATTCTTTGGTTCGTCGTGAAGGTTAGACGTCTGAAGGGCTTGAACGTTAACGTGGTTATGATGGCAGACTGACGGCAATTGAGTATGTGCTTGACCTCGAGGAAAATCAAGTAGCAGAGGAGCTGGTTTTGGATGATACAGGAGTTGCGGCTCATGGGAATCGAGGTGCGTCACATCACATCTTTTCCCACTTCCCAGGGGTTGACTATAACCCCTTCCTGAATTAGGGTGGCGGAGGCACAGAGCAGAACATATCGGCACTTTTTCTGATTCGTTAGTTTGACTCTGTGCAGAACATTCAAAGGCACTTGTCTTAGAGGCAAGGTCGGTAGGCTGAGAACAACCATCACCCTTGAAAGAAAGATCGATTGAATGGGCATTCTGCTGCTCTTTCTGTATAGTGTTCGATTCCGCATAGAAGGTGTAAACACTACTCATTTCCTTTTTATCACGGTAACGTGCATAACTAGCAGATGGAAAAGCAACACAAGGTGTGGGAATGATTGTAGAGTTAGCTTTTTGATGGAGACCTCCACCAGTAGAAGCAGCTGGACAACGAACTGGCAAATCTTCAAAAATGCGATCAGGAGAAGCAAATTTTGTCCGTCTAGCAGATTCAAAGGGCTTTCCGGGGGGACAGGTATGTGGGTTGGCTTTCGGATTGTACTCCTGGACACCTTGGAAAGCTGTAGCAGTATACAAGTGGTGTTGGACATCTGGAACATCTGGAACATTTGGCCCCTGTATTTGCCGTTGAACAGAGAAGCTGTTTCCATACGGAGGATGACTCGAGGAAATAAATTTTGGTCTGCTCTTGCTTTCAGCAATAGCACTTGTTGGATGATACCTTTTTTGTTGAATTGATTCTGACTTTTGTTGAGGTGAATTAGCAATTTCTCCAAGGCAATTCTCGATGGAATCGACATGTACCACCGCCGGTGCACGAATATCATTTGTGATGTGCTCAACAAAGTTTTTATCTACCAATGGAGTAGTACGAGGCCAAGTGGATCCTGCAAAATGACGCTTTAACTCCCCATCATTGTGTAAAGTTTGAGGGGTAAGTGTTTCCACCAGAGAAGATTGAATTGCGTGCGTTGAATGATCGTGGTTGGCGATAGGCACGGGTAAACCTCTCTGGGTATGACAACCACTTGGTTTCAAGAGAATTACCTCGTTCTCTGAGATGAACTCCTTTTGCCTTACTGGAAAGAAACCGTTTTGGCAAGTCTTGTAGATTTCAGCTTTCACCTTTTCTTCAGACTTGAAACAATCCGAAGTTTGAGGTCCGCCCTGGACAGAGGGGCTATCAACAATTTTTTTCAGACAAGGTACATAAATAATATGATATGCAGGATTTTCTGTTACTTTACATATTTCGTCTAAATGAGCCTTTGGAGCTTGTCTTCTTATCTTCTGATCGAAGCAGCCAGTCTTGCCTTTTGTACTTGCCTGCTCTAGCTTATCAAGAGGTTGCCCACCATTAATCGTTGTTGAGTAGGAATGGTGTGTAAGACCGTTCAAGTCATCACTTTCCATCGGGTGTGGTGAATATTTCTGGACATCAATGGCATTGTTATAAACAACCAAGCGTCTAGGAAATGATATTATTTCAGCTTCCTTCATTTGACTAATAGACTCGTGTGAGGATGACTGCTGACCATTAGTTCTTTCCTGGAAAAAGGTAGACTTCCTCGGGGTCTGGCAAATACCCGGAGCGTGGCAAATGCATTGGTGGGCTACGCTTGAAACGTACTTATCTCCATGAAAAAGAAAGGAGCGATTTACTAAGCAATTATTTGTTGGTACTGACAGCATGATGAGCACTGCGAAACTTCTTGTCGACCGTCTTGCAATAAAAAACCTGGAAACGCCAAAACAAAAAATAAAGTTTTCTTGATAAAAAAGGTAGCTAAAGGTTGCAAATGAAATAC